CGGGACACTGCCTCAGCCCCTGCCGTCCCCTGTCCGGCAGCGAGGACGTGGTTCTGAGGAGCTTCCCCAGCTCCCTCTCTCTGGCAGTTTTTGGCCACCTCTTCTAGATTTGCCATACTTCCCCAACACCCAAATCTGTGCTTCAATGGCAAAGTCAGCAGTGATTGATAGATAAACGTAACTAAATAGCAAAAGACCGGGAGCTCTTGGGGGTTGCTGTTACAGCCGCAGAGGAAGGCCGTGTGCCGCTGTCATAACAACAATGTGAGCAACATGGGGGGAGCAACGTGACTCCCCCATCTGCCGTGCCCTGTGCGTATGTGCTCTGTCATTCTTTCATCATCACCACAGCTGCATCAGCTCCTGGAAATGTGTGTAAATGAGTTAAATGCAGCTGCAAGTCAATCATCTCAAAGGGATGGGATTTCCCCTGTTTCTACAGAAAGGAAAGCGATATAGCAGTACAGTGGATGAGTGCCCGAACCCAGGGGCAGACCGACTGCAAGTGTGTATATGAAAAAGCATCAAAACATAAAAACCCCCACAATGTAACCTCAGACTTGTCTAATATAACTGAGCACGCACAGATCAAGCCTTCTTTTTTGGGAAGGTTCAGACTTCAGGGCCTCTATCCCAAAGATATTTCTTTAAGCCACTCATTAACAAATAAGTTTGGAAGCTCTATACGTATTATTCATGTAGCAACAACAACCTGGGGACTGTGTAAGACTCAAAATGCAACCTAAACATCAAAACCAAAGCTATCTGTGTTCTTCTGACACAAGTGTTCAGACACCTGACGTATTTTTGGTGCCAGCTGCAGGTAGAGCAGAGGCAGGAGATCCAGAGAGCTGCAGTCTGTGCCTGCCGAGTACTGGCATGCTGTGGGATGATGGATCCAGTCAGTCCTGATCCCGATAGAGATGGCTGTCCTGCCGGGGACACACCGGGGCTGATTTGTAGAGATGCCTGTGCCTTCTGTTGCAAATGTGTTGTTTTCAAACAAACCCTGTAATTCAGGTCATTGCTGTACCCCGTAGGTCTCCGAAGAGGAGAGACTCACATATAACGCTTCTCCTTTTATAATGTGTCCCCTACCTTGTCATCCATACCACAGCTGCGAAGTGTGCACTCTTGTGCACTGATGCAAAAGACCTGTATCTATTGGTGCTGATCTCAGATTGACCCAGGACTTTGCTTCACCAGACTTTGAAACTGTAGGTTATATAGCGCTGGTGGGAGGCCTTGTCTGAGAATATTATATACACGAATAGCCACAATGGACACGTTAACAGAACATCATAAAGTCAAATTAATATGAAGTAGTAATACTGGGCTGAAGAGTATTTTGCTAAGAGATTAAAGCAGTCATTGAAGCACCAAATGTAAAGATTCGACTGCACAGGCCATGTTTTCTAATAGTTTGTAAAGATGTGGACAACTTCTGTTCTTACTAAATTGCCATGGCATTTTTTTGGCAAAGAAAGCGACTAGCTTATAAACTATAGTCTTATAAAGTAATTTTTAATCGCTTTGAAATTCAGGTCAAACTTGAATTGAATCAGACTTCATAATGTATTCTAAAAGAAAACAAAATACCAGACAGTTCAGAAATCCTGAGAGAATGTCCTAACGCTGGCTTCACTGTAGATCCTTTCCCTGATTTCTACAGCATATTGCATATGCCACATAACCCCAGAAATAGCAAATAAACAAGTGACCAATGTGCTCTAAGATCTCATTTAAAACAGAGAGCTGGGAAATAGGCAACCTGTTCCTGACTGCCTCTGGCTTTCTGAGTCACCTTAGTCATGCCACCTAACCAATTTGTATCCAAGCTCCCCCCCGGCCACCTGAGATCAATGTATGAGGATACAATATACATGAAAGATTAATGCTGGCCTTAAATGAGCATTATCTGCGATGACATGAATCCACGTGGGATTGTTGAGTGCAAGTTTTTCCAGAAGCTCCAAGTATTATTTGAGGAATCACAAAGTTAATCTAAAGGGCATGTGTTTGCCAGTTACCAACACTGTAACCAAGCCCTGATGACGGTGCCATTCCTCAGCTGAATAGTGCTTCTTCGCTGTAGCTCTCAGCATGCTGTGCTGACCTATGGAAAGGCTGTGAGTCTGTTTTTGCCCCTGGGATTTACATGGACCGCACAGCAAGTCAGCCAGATGGATGACACTCCCCCGATCCCCGGCTCTGAGCTGAGGTGCCCACTGAGACTGGGATGGGCAACTCCCCCTCCCACGTGTGGGCTGCTGGGACCTGGGCTCTCTCCGCTTCCCCTGGCAATGGCCATGCTGTGACTCGACCTTTTCCTCAGGGCTCCTGCAATTCATTACTGAGGTGGTGAGAGGTGTCCAGCATCCCAGCTCCAGAGCTACCCCTTGCTCTCGTGTGCCGGGCCCTACAGGCTCTTCTCTTTGCGGTCGGTGCTACCTGGAGGTCAGGTCCTCCCCCGCTACCTCCAGAAATGATTGGCCTCTGCTGCTGCGAGGGCAGCAAGGGCACAAGGACTGGTCTTGTGCCTTACCGTCAGAAGGGCAGTTGCCATGCAGGGCAGCTGTGAGCCTTGGCATGGGGGCAGCGAGAAGGCCCCTGTAATTCTACCCAGCTAGTGACTGCCATGCCACGACATGAATGCACGGAGCAGACCTCCTAACACTCAATTTGGGCAAAAGCCAAGTGAGAGCCCTGAAAGTTTCCCTGAGTAAAGACTGCAGGATCCATCCAGTGTTTCTGTTCAGAGTATGCATGAGTGTGGTTTAGGTACGTAGAAGGGAGATAAAATCTCCCTCAGTTAATGCATAATATTAAATCATTCCCTCACCCATGGAATGTAAGAGAAGCCCAAGGAGCCGTTGTCACCTGCACCAGTCTATATCCAGCTCAGTGACGGGCTTTGCCCGTCCAGCTTTCTTAACGGCCTCAGCCTCCCACACCTATGCTGCCTGCCAGAGCTTCTCTCAGCTGAGAGCAGGGACGAGGTCGCCGATCTTTGAGAGTTGAGAAAAAGTCTGTATTATAACATAATGCAGAGTATCAAGAGGTCCTGCTGCAGTCCTCTTTGAATCTAATGACACTAGGACATTAATAGGCAGGCTCTGCCGTGACGCTGTGCTTTCAAATGCACCATTGTCATTCTCCTTGCTCACAGCCCGGAGGTCACAGCATTAACTGCCAGATTCAATGACTTCCCTATGGTGATCCTCTCCGTAGCCAAGAAAATCAGCAGGAGGAGCTTTCTTTTCATAACGAATACAAATAAAATCACGTCAGCAGACTAGTGGATTTTGCTTAGAATGAAAATGAATCAGTCAGATCATCTGCTGCACAGGTGTGAAGCTGTTTGAATTTAGTAATCACAAAATATGTGCCTCTGCAGGCAGTACCACAAAGCAAAGACGGCATTTAGTGCCACCAAGGCAGGACTTTCAGATGAGGGTAATCCAACTCTGAAACTCTAAAACCAGCTTGGTGTCTGACAGCATCGAGCTCTGCCTTGAAGTCTGCAGCACAGCCATTTAATAGCATGGTCTAGACCATGAGAGGCCAAGGGAGAACCATGAGGCTACAAATTGTCTTAGGCAGGCCAAAGAAGATGCTTCCTCTACCTGATAGGATCAGTTTAGGGAATTTCCTTAGAATGCCATAGTTTATTAACCGCAGTTTTTAAAGGAATGGATGCCTTTTGCTGCAACAGTATAAGCTGACTGGAGGATTTTTCCTGACACAGAAGAAAAGCTAATGAAAATGTAACAAAGGTCAAATGCCATTTTTAGTTGCGTGCTGCCTTTGCATTTTCCAGTGCTCCCTTCCAACCGACTCATAAGTACCCTCTGCCCAGAAAGCAGCATGCACTACTAATGGGTTTTTCCTAGGATTCTCTGTCTCCCTTGCTCTAACTTTGACTCTTTGTAATGAAATTACAGTCCGAACTGAATCAACCCAGTGAACGCAAAGGTCCTTTGGACAGTACCAAGGCAGTCTTAGGCACTCAGATCAGAGGAGACGCTTTTTAGATGAATCATTGCATCAATGAAGTGCAGCCTATCGGGATTCTCTGTGATAACTTGACCTGAGAGATGAAGAGCAATCCCTTGCTCAGCCAGGAAGACTGGAAGGACAGACCTGCCACCTGCATCTTGAACACCAGGTCATCTCGCTCTGCTGACTGAGTACTTTTCATCAGCCTTGGAAGACCTTGAAACCTTTCCCTGTAACTCCGGCTGTACTCAGCACAACTATCACAGCTGGAGATGAACTAGAGTAATACAATATTAGAAGCATATCCACAGTGTACTAAACGCACCTGGCCACCATAAAGAAATGCAAGAAAAGCATTTCTGTCATAGCTAAATCAGTCCATATGACAACTGTATGATTCCCTCCTTTGCATTCCTTTACCAACCATCCTCCAAAGCGAATAAGCCCAAGATGCAATAAATTGCACTGAGGAACAACCATCGCTGTACATTTAATACTTGGAAACACTTAGGCACCATCTAACTACCTTCACCTAAAACACGGCATGCTGGATTTCAGAGCTTGTTACTTCAATAGGAACAAGATCAAGATAAAATACAGTAACGGAAGTTGAAAAAAACGCAATCCAAAAACCTGGCATCTTGCAGATAGTTTTCAGGAGAGCACCACAGCAATGTGAGGAAGAATATTTTCAACAAAGCAAGTGGGTGGAGAAAAGCATGAAGGCATCTCAGACAGCTTCCTTGACAGAACTAGACCCCAGGACAGCTGACTGAGGCCCAAAATAACAGGACAATCCCTCCATTCCCTCCCTTGAGGAGAGGGTGACTGCTGGGGGGGAGCCGGAAGCTGCTCTCTCTATCTGGCTATATGACTAATCCAAATATTTACATCAAAGCAACTCTGCTGATTACTGTGAAGGAACAAAAAAGTGGGCTCAAGCCAAGTGAAACTGCTAGACCTGAAACATGAGTCTGGGAAAATCCAGGGCTACCCTGACGACATGGGGAAAAAGCTTTAGATCGCAGAGGTAGCATCAGCTGCCTGTACTGCCACACAAGCAATTGTCAGTTGTTTCTTCTTTCTCCTTCCCACTCCAGCCCTGCCATCTTCCAGCAGATTGGGTTCTTGGACTATACTTTGTCTTCTTCCCCATTTGCAGCTGCTCAGGGAAGTGGTCTTTTTTTTTTTCCCTACCCTCACAAGAGATGGGTCCAAAAGTTAAGCGTCTTCTTTTTCTTCCCCATACCAAGTGCTTGAGTAATAGAGATGGGATAAAGCAGGGACTTTTTTTTCTCTGTAGGACAGGTTGTACCTACTTCTTCCCTTGTTCCCCTACTTCTTTCCTATACCCCACAGTTCTTTGTTCCATATAGAAAAGGTTCTATGTAACCCTGTAATAGTCCCACCTCATTTGCTGGTAGTTCCTATGTAGTCCTTCCCTCCCTACAGCAATTCCTCAATTATTTATGCCTCTACTGCATCTTGTGCCCATTCTGTACTAGTATAAATACTGACAAACCCAATACATTGTTCTAAGTGCAGGACAAAAGAAAAGCTTCCTGTCCTCAGAGACAGATGATATCTGTATACGTTTCTGAATGCAGCATTGGCAATTGAATACTGCAACCTGAGGAAAAGAACAAAATCTTTTAACCAGCAATTGATTACTCCTGAGAATTAAACATCTGATCCCAGGCAAATTTTAAGGAGGAGTATTACTGGGGTTCATTCCTGATGAAATGCATTCTTCAACCCTATTAATGCCCCAGCATATTAGTTACTGCAAATTGGACACCTTAAACCTGCAGTCATTTTTAAAGAATTTAGTCTGGTCCCCTGATGCTCTTTCCACCTACCTGCTCTCCTGTCTCCTCCAGTGTTTTTTTTTTTTTCATTATTGTATAGAAAAATATTTTTCCCTATTCTTCTCTGTTTAATGTGTTTGAACCCCGTACAGAGGGAGCCCCCCAGGCTAGCTATTAGACCCTGTAGATACATGGAGAAAACTCTGGCTGAAGTCTGGAACATCCAGATTCCAAAACATATTCGTAGTGAAACTCTGCAGCTCAAAACTCTGCAAGAGATTTTGATATCCACAAACTATCCTACAAGAAAACATCGTCCTAAAGCAGCCTTTATTTCTGTGGCAAACAGGCATCATAATGCATGCTTTTCCTGCTCATCCATTTGTATTTTGCAGGAAATCTGTGAGAATCCACGGTTTATTATCGGTGGAGCCAACAGAACAGATATCTGCCAAGGAGAATTAGGTATGAAATTCTTACTTCAACTCTGTCTGCATCACTTAATTTTCTTTTGCTTCCAAGGTGATACTTGAAGTCCTCTGTCTCAGTATACCACTACACATCTACTGATTCCTTCTGTCTATAGCAAATCGTTGATATCTGCCTAGTAGCAATCTAGGGAAGAACTTTAAGCGAAAGATGCTTTGCAGGGTGTTTTGCTTTTCATGAACTAATATCATGAGTGTGTTACAAAGCACCATTTGGCCTTTTGGGCTTTGAGGAGGGACAAAATTAGTTAAGACAAGAATAAAAGATAAAGAGAAGGATTTATTTGACTGAGAGAGAAATCTAATCAGCTGCTGTTGTATTTTTTCAGGTATTTAGTCCTGTTATTTCCATACAGGAGCTTCTGAAGGCCTCCAGCTAAGTGTGCCTTGTACTCAAGGACAACCCCTATATTGAAGACCTTAAGCTCAGATGCTCAAAGATATGTAGAGCCGCTACTTAGGTACAAGTGATGCCTCTGCAACGGTCGTCCATGCGGCACTCACCTGCACTGCTTTATAAAGTCATTCCCCACTCAGCTTTCCCATGTCTTTCATGGTTTTATAACTTCTCCTGTGATCTTCTTCCTAAGCCAATACATCCTAATGTGTGTTAATCTTTTCATTTAAGTGTTGTTATGTGCTTGTGACTGCCCTCATCACCTTCCCAGTACTTTTTCTTGTTTTTAAAAGTGCCTTTCTTTTTGAGGTGACCAGAACTTCACAGTTGCCAAGGTGTGGATGCAAATGAATTTATGTGCAAAATATGTTCTCTCTTTTGTCTTCCATTCCTTCCCCAACTACACATAGTATTGTTTACCTTTTTGACTTCTGCTGAACATTGGATAGTTTAGAAAACTCCTGTTCACAGTGGAATTCACATCCTTCCTAAGGGGAAATAGGTAACTTAGAATGTACTGCTCTATGTATAGAGTTGGCTTTCCAAAATATATACATATATGTATTTCTATATGTTTTATCACTCCACCAGTTTGATAAATTTCCTTTACAATCTCCTGCGATCAGGCTTAGTTTGCACTATCTCGTATAATTCTCTTACCACACTAATTCACACTGCTCAGGCAAGCTTACCCTGTAACCTCTCCTACAGTAGCGGCTAGGAGGTTTTAATTAAGGGTTGAGGCATTCTTTGCTGAACGCAGAAGTACTATGGGAGAAAGTCACTTTCCCAGAGCTCCCACAGAGGCAGCAAACTTGTGCAAGAGTCTGAAGGAGGAACTGAAAAGTGCTAAAGGGGACAGTGTTTACAACAGTGCAGACAGATTCAAAAAGAGGAAAATGTGTCAGAGCAATGAAGCAGGAAAGAGGCCCCACGGAACGATGATTGGGACAGTGGGTTATCTTGAGAGCAGAAAATGAAAATGAGAGACTGAACCTCAGCTGTACAGAGCTCCACCTGGGAGAGAGTTATCTCTCAGCTGGTCTCTAGTCTAAGCTTGGAGGGAGAACTAACGTGGCAAGTCAGATAGATAGGCATTCACATGGGACAGTGAAATCTTAACACAGGTAACAGTGCTCATCAGATTTTAGGCTTTTTCTAAATTACAGTGAACATCATCTATTTAACAGGTGTGTACCTAGCCATGAATGATGCCAATGAGCATTTCCAGAGCACAAATAAATAAAGTGCTAAAGTACTGCAGAACACATGGAGAAGAGCCCTCTCCTGAAAAGCGATGGCATGCTCTACTGAGAATTAACATGTCACTTTGCAGTATCTCAGGTTTTCCCTTTGATTCTAGTTGCTCTGTCTTTTCATTTTGTCTGCTGCTTCTGCTTGTTTACAGGTGACTGCTGGTTCCTGGCTGCCATTGCTTGCCTGACACTGAATAAAAAGCTACTCTGTAGAGTCATACCTCATGACCAGTCCTTTATACAAAACTATGCTGGCATCTTTCACTTCCAGGTGAGTCCCTTCATCTAGCAGGAAGCAGATGTAACTGTATTTACCCAAGAGAGAGCTCAGCTCTCGGGCGCGCTCTTCCTTCTCGCTTCTCCACCCTTTGGAAGTGTGAGCGACAGCGGGGAAGGAAGAGGGATTGAATTGCCTCACCCTGAACTCTTCCAACAGGGCAGTCACAGAACGGCCAGCCCATACAGGCAATTAGGGAGCGTTAACCCACCAAGGAAGCATTTGCAGATCGCTGTGTCCTGCATGTAAGGGATAGCAACAGGTGCCCGCTCCTGCCTCGCTGCTCAGATGCAGCGCCACAGCCAGCACAGACACACTGGTAGTTGGCAAGAGCATCTATTTTTAGGCCCACAAGCAGCTGGCCTGTCAAAAACAAGTTATTGAAGAACCACTTATTCAGAAAAGATTGAGTGCTTTCCATATTTCCCTTGGCTGTCCTAAGGGACCTCTCACTGTCCCGCACGCGTTGCCAGGGGGAATTCAGCCCGGCTGCCTCCCACCCAAGGGCCATCGCTTTTTGCCACATTGCGAAGCACTGAATTTCCACATTTCTCTTCTCTCAGCCTGGCTTCTCAGCCAGGCTCCCCCTCCCTGCCCCAAATTAACCCAGAGTTTTTTTCTGTTTGCCTTTATTCAGTTCTGGCGCTATGGAGATTGGGTGGACGTCGTCATTGATGACTGCTTACCCACGTACAACAACCAGCTGGTCTTTACCAAGTCCTCCCAGCGCAACGAGTTCTGGAGTGCCCTCCTGGAAAAGGCCTATGCAAAGTAAAACGACCCGCCGGACCGTGCCGGGCTCCCTGCTGAGGCTTTGGCTGGGGAGGTGGTTAAACCACTGTGTACAGGACCTATAATGAGCACATAGACAGGCTCTGAACACACCAGTGCCTTTTCCCATAGATTCTCATGCCTCAGAATTAGGGATGGGGTAAAACATATTTTCTAGGGGGTTTTGCTACTCATTCAGAGGTCTACATTTGATTCTCAACATCTCTTTTTTTTTTTTATTTGATGTGTGCAGGTGGCGTGTTTTAAAACTTTTAACTTGAGGGTTACCAAACAGATGGTTTGTGGGATTTTTTTAGTATGTGTTTACATATCTTTATTTATACACATACATAAGATAATTATATATTATGTATAAAATAGGTAGGTATCTTTATCTATGTAAAAGAGAATCTTATTTTTCTTTTCTCTTTCCAAGACTCCATGGGTCATATGAAGCTTTGAAAGGAGGCAACACCACCGAAGCCATGGAGGACTTTACTGGAGGAGTCACAGAGTTCTACGAGATAAAGGATGCCCCTAAAGATATCTATAAAATCATGAAACATGCCATTGACAGAGGATCCCTCATGGCCAGCTCCATTGATGTGAGTCCATATGATCTTTGCAGATGAGCCATAAGAAATGGCAGAGGAGAGTGACCTCTTCATCCATGAACAAATATATGCCACTTTTTGGAACTGCTTGGTTTAGTCCACATAGCAAACATCCATTGCTAGGAGATGGAGTAATCTCCACTAGACACCACCCACTGGCAAATAGCAAGTGCCAAAAGGGAAATGAACAGAAGCAGAACATGGAGGTGGAAAGAAGGGGTACGATCAGCAAAACCAGCACCCCCCACCCTCAGTGCCCTCGCCCAATAAAATGAAGTTAGTAGGGGGGTACCGCAGCTCTATTAAGACACAAATCTTCATGTCAAAGATGCTAAGTGTGCAAATGCTTGGGAAATCAACCCTTCAATTGCCAACATAGTCTTAAATTGTCTTCATTTACTGTGGTTAATTTAAAAGTGAAAGTAAAAAAACTAGCTTCAATAACCAATAAGGAGTATGAAGTTGCAGTGAAGGCAGAAGAACAAGCAGTGCTATCAACCACTGTAGATAAGTATGGACCATCTAGCATGTAATGGGAGAGAAGTTACCTAGGCTATCATTTACCACTCATCTTTCTTGTATCATTTCTGTTCTCTCTCGCTGCCTCATCTTTCTGCATGATACTTTTCTCCCATTCTCTGTACCAGGATAACCTAGGCTTTTCCTACGGATCAGCTCCTCGGAGCGACATTGGGGAACTGATTGCTCGAATGGTGAAGAATCTAGAAAACGCGCAGATGACTCACTCCACTGTAGACTATCAGGGGACAGACGAAAGGCCAGCCTGGGTTCGTATGTTTCTAGCAGTGATTGACTTCACAGGGCTTTTATTTACAGACAGAACAGTTAGACAGACATATTATCTGTGCTCTTAAATCCTTATTTGTCTTCACTGAGTTATCCCAACACTAAAGACCTGTTCTTACAGATGCTATTTGACATATGTATTAAAGGATTTCAATCCTTTCAAACACAGTGACTGACACTAGAGGGCTTTGCCGATACTGGGGCAAAGGGCTGTTGGCTTGTGGCAAAGGCTTATAATTTCTAGAGCTTACCTGTACAGTAGAAATGGAGAGCAAAATCATATCAAATATGTCAAAGCAGCACATTGGTTATTGTATTTGGGAACTGGACACGATTAGTGGATTTTATAAAGTCCCTCACTTGCAAAAGACAGAGAGAGTGAGAAAATCAAAATACTAGAATGGAACAAGATCCCAGCGTGTGGAGAGGGTGTGAAAGAAAGAAAAAGCAAGCTCTGCACGGCTCTCACTCCAGGCACAAAAGCTCTTGGTAAACTTATTTTGAGACAGAGTGCGCTACAGAGCTCTGCCCACCAACGGAGGGGAGTCTGCTCTCGGGATGCTTCTTTTAGATTACTGCCTTCAAGATCCTAATTTAAAATGCTTAATAAGGAAAATGAAAAACGTATTGAGTTTTACATGTGTGATAAAATACAAAGTAACTCCAGTATAACTAAGTATCTAGCAAAATAGAGAGAGGGATGTTAAAACCATTAAAGGAAAATCCCATATTGGGAAACTTAAAAGCTTCCAAATCTGTAGAGGGACATGTTGCTTTCTCCTTCTCTCTGTCAGGCAGCTGTCACACCTTGCCCTTTTGGGAGATGCATTTCCATGACAATGAAATTAGATCTCTCACTTTACAGAGAGAAAAAAAAACAACACCCACCCCAATTACATCATCTAAAACTTTTGGTTGCACAAACTGTCTTCTGCATTTGCAGCAGAAATAGCTGATTTTTCCTCTTTTGACACCCATATTTAGTCTTCCTAAAAGACTGAAATGGTGTAATTCTTCCGGAAAGCCCACTATGACTGTCTTGTTTTGCAAGCATGACTGCCCAAATCACCTATGTTTTGGGAGGAATTTCCTCCCCAGTGACTGTCTACTCAAAGAAGGTTGGAAAACTCTCTATAGTTGCTGCCTCGGCGGATTTTTTGCTGCTGGTTATTACACAGTCCTGAACCATCACCAGAAAAAAAAAAAATCATGGCTCTTGATGGAAAGAGGCAGATAGTGCAGACTTCAGAAGCACTTTAGAGAAGTGGCCCAGGGCACCAGCAGAAGTTAATATTCTTAAACAGAAAAGAGAGAAAGGGGTTCTGATAAGTAATGATGGCAACAACATGAATAGAAATTAAGAAAAAAGGAAACAGATATGAGGTTATAGGCATAAAAAGTATGGAAACAGGAGCAAGGGGAAAAAAAAACGAAACAGGAGCAGAAGGGAAATAATGGAAAATAATTGTGACAGCCAGGAAATACTTGGATGAGATCCTCCCTGTGCAAGCTGAGAATGTATCTCTGTGACCTTACTAATTCTCTGTTTCCAGCCCTGCCTTTCTCATGCCCTCAGATGTGTCAAGAAGGGATGGCAGAGTTACTGGCAGGGCCCTGCAGTCATCTCTCAGTGACAGACGTAATGGAGGAGGGGAATTTTCGCACATGGTCCACGTGCGTGTAGTGGAGCCTTCCCTTCCCACCGTTCTCAGTGATCTCTCCTACAAACACAGCAGACTGTGTGCACCTGCCATCTTCCTCTCAATTATTTATCTCCCAGATAAACAGCATTCTGAGATTTGCAAATAAAGATCTATCAGACACACTAACAGTTGATTACCAAGACAGCAAATGCATTTACACCTGAGCAACCCATTGCTGAAGAAAGCTATGCTCTTCCTGAATGTCAGTCGGAAAAAATTTCCATCATGAGAATTTTAACTATAATAAAATGAATAAAATGTACATCTCCACAGGAAAGTAATTAAAAAAAATGTAAGTTAGTAGGAACTGTGTATTAAATAGGGTGTTTTACTGTCATTGTGATAAGATTGCAGCCATGTGTAAAGATGAAAGTATTCTTCTAGGTGTTGATCTGCTCTGATGTTTCCAGTTAATATGTAATAACCTTACTGAGCCATACAAGAACATACTATCCCAGAAAGGGCTGAATAGCCCTACTAATAGAAAATCCAACTATTTTGATTAAGCTTGCTATATACTAGCATGTTGCGAGTGCAAAAAGCAGTAACCTGCAGTAACTTTTTCCCAACAAAGGGAAAAAGTAAATCACAAAATGTCCTTTCCAATTGATATTATTAACTTTTTGCTTTTTTAGTTCACACTTCACTCCTTTCTAACCAACAACATTAATTCTGTGGGCACTAAACTTGGCCACCTTGGCAAACGCAAAGAGAACAAGACAAAAACCCCTGTCACCTGAATGGTGTCGTCCTCCCTCCAAAAGTCCTGGGTGGCAATACCTGCCTTAGAGCAGCCAGCTGAGCTTTGCATGACTCTCATAAGTTTTTATCTTGTGTCTAACAGACCATAGTGCCAATGCAGTATGAAACCCGGATGTCTTGCGGGCTCGTCAAAGGTCATGCCTACTCTGTCACGGCCGTGGAAGAGGTACGTACAGTTCCTTTCCTATGGGGAGAGAACAGTCCCACAGCTATGGGGACCTGTGTTCTGCACTGGCCTAGAACCATGCATGTCAGCAAAACTGTGAGGGGGGGGGGGAAAGCAAAACAAATTATGAGCTAAGGAAACAAAATTTGTATTTAAATAAATGAGAGCCTTGTGGAGAAATAAACCCATCCCAGTTTTGGCTTTCTGGGGAAATGGATATTTCCATGGTCTGCGTGGGCAAAGGTGGCCACAGCTGGCCACTTCCTGGTCTTACAGCCTTCCCACACTCACCCCAAGCAGGTCAGGCTGGGCGATGGCCCAGGAAAGCACCATCACTGGAGGAGCTGGTATCAGAGATTTGACAGGCAGAACGTTTCCTTTTGAACCTACTCTCAGTCTATTATTACATTCTTATTATTACAGTCTATTCTTATATTCTTATTATTACAGTCTATTCTTATATTCAAGTTAATATTACATTCTTTTTCAATTAGACAACATTTAAAGGGGAAAAAATACGTCTGGTAAGGCTGAGAAACCCCTGGGGACAGGTGGAATGGAATGGACCTTGGAGTGACAAGTGAGTAAAATGGAGCTTCATGTGATTTGAAAAAAAAATTGCACCTTTGTTTGCCCTTATGCAGCTTGTGCATGACCCTAACATTTAATGATGACATATCTCAATTGTCTTTGCTGTCATTTTGACACGTGCACTTTGAAGTTGATCATAGCTGAATGCTTAGCTGAAGCTGTAAAAAGAAAAGAATACCTAAAAAAGATGTTAAGAGGGTCTTTAATCAATGGAAATTAAGAGAGCCCAATCAATCTGATTTTACTGTCTAGCAAGTTCAGCAATGTCCATTTTCAAAACAAGACGTGACAGTAGAAAAATCTTTTTAAGTTATGGAAGAACTGGATGAAGCAAGATGTCAGTACATGAGCGAGTTTGGATAAAGCTTCTCATTAGGTTTTACTAAAAGGAATTTCCATAGCCACTCCAGCAATGAGAGTCTGCAAACACTTTTGTCTTCAAGCTAAATAAAATGAGCACAGTTCAGCAGATTTTTGAGAGCTGCTAAGAGGAAGCCTGAAGGGAAGGCAGAGAGGAGTAGGGCAATTTTTTATTTTGGCATGTGGAGAGGAGAGTAGCATTGAGAACAAATGGTTGCAAGGCTCACAAAGGAAAAATTGTATGGATGTAGCAAGATGACTCTTGAGTTTCCATTCTATGAGGCTTACAGTAAAGAGTAGAAATTTTAATCAAAACTGTATTGCAAATCATAATCTAACTTGTGTACTCTTTTGAAGGTCAGAGGAGTGGAACTTCATTAATGAAGCCGAGAAAATCCGCCTGCAACACAAAATCATGGAGGATGGGGAGTTCTGGTGAGAATATGAGTCAAAAACCTGTGGTTCTCTAGGAGATATGCAACTATAGCAAAAATGAATCACACTGCACTACTTAAATCTGCTAAAACCATCGCAGTAATCCCTGTTTGCCTTCATATTCCCAATAAGCCCTGCTCTGTGATCACCTCATTCTCCCACCAGGGTTTGAGTGCCACCAGGACAGTCCTTCTAATTATGTCACTCTTCCACAAGCTCTCCATCACCCTTCCTATGTACTGTCCTCTCAGCCCAGCGTCCCTCAGTTTGGAGCTATACCTGTGTTAATCGACCAACCAGCAGGCCAAATGCATTAGGAAATCATGGCACTCTCACTGCAAACTTGCCCCAATGGTGGCGATAACATGGGTCACCCTCCTCCACCTCACCAGGATCTTTCAGACAACCACCTACCATGTAAATCCATTTGGGTTCAGTTTCCCCTCAATTCCTCCAGGATATCATTTGAAGATTTCATGAGGCACTTCACAAAACTTGAGATCTGTAACCTCACACCTGATACTCTGGAAGCCAATAAACTCCAGACCTGGACTGTGTCAGTCAGTGAAGGGCGCTGGGTGAGAGGCTGCTCAGCTGGAGGGTGCCGCAATTATCCAGGTGAGGAATGGGTCTTAAGAGAACTAAGGCCTCTTTGATGGGGACTGTATTAGATCCCACAGGCTAGGTCATACCACAGCCTGATCAGTGCTCGGCCATAGGAAAAGCCTTGCTTCCTCAGTGGGCAAGAAACGTAATTTTGTAGCTGGAAATCTTCTGCCACTAGGTTTGTGACAGCACCTCATAAGCCCAAAAGGCAGGCCTGGCAAAAATAAATCATTGTTCAAATACTTCACAAGTAAGTGATAAGTAAGATAAGAGAGATCAATTTCACTCTAACAGATTTCACTTGGGAAATCCACTTTCTGATAGCTTTAGGTGCTTTGGAAGTTTGTCAGATATTAGTTCTTCATTTTATCTCCTTTGCGGTGCAATTTTGTTACAACTATGTAAAACCCATAACACATAAAAAAATATATATGTATTAGCCCAGTTTTAACCTTTCCCTCAGGATCCACAGGCAGGGAACTGAAAAGTCCTCTTTGATCATGAGTATTGTTAGAAAGCTGAAACTTTACATGTTTGCTTTGGGCTGTTGGTGGGATTTCACAGATACGTTTTGGACCAATCCCCAGTATCGCTTGAAGCTCCTGGAGGAAGATGATGATCCTGAGGATGAAGAGGTTGTCTGCAGCTTCCTTGTTGCACTGATGCAGAAAAATAGGAGGAAAGAACGCAAGCTGGGAGCCAACCTGTACACCATTGGCTTTGCCATCTACGAGGTACCAGCTGTAGACTTTGTTCTTAGCACCGTGATCGCAAATACTGACAGTATGCATTTACCAAGAAAGTCACTGAATCATTCAGCCTGACTGCATGCATTGCAATTTTTACTTTGCAAGGAACTCAGGGGAAACCTGGAAGAGAGGAAGGAAATTTAAAGCTTGGTAACCATTCAGCCCATAGTAACCTCGGGGTTTACCCCATCTATAAGTAACACACTTTTTAGGCTTTTATGGTGACTTAATGCCAGATTTTAACATATTCTCTCTCATATATTCTTCAATCTCCCTTTCATCCTCGCTGAAACTAAACATTTCATTAACAGAATAGTGTAAAAAGGGAAACAGACATCCAAGATGCATACATAGCAATTAATCTCTGGCCCTGCTATCGACTTCATGAAGAAGTCAATTTACTCTGTCCCTTGCACAAACATATTTAGTTCGGATCTTACTGGATCTCATACAGATCCCAAGAAATCTGGAAAGGAAGAAAGAAATTGCTTAGAATAATTATATAACTTGGGGCATTTTATTTACTGGCTGCATCCCCAGAAATCTATGTGAACGCCCTTCTGTATGATCTATAAACAAGTGGGCTCACCTAGCAGCTCTGACTGTTTGTTCTCTTTGTTTCTCCCTAAGGTGCCCAAAGAGGTATGAGCAGAACGGAGGCAGATTGACATCTTGGTGTATGCTCACAGCTAGTGTTACTGTTGTGCCTGTCTGTAAGTCAGCACGAAACTGTCCAGTCAAGTTTGTTTTCAGGGATGTAACAAAAGTGAAACTGCTAACCTTTCTGCTTTGAGTGTTTATTAGTAACACTTTGTGAGTAATTTTTAATTCCTTCTCACCCGCACCCGTTTTCGCCTGCACCTTTTCCTTAGTCCTTCTTTTCTATTCGTATGTGACCTGGCCATGGCTTACATGGTCAGTCAGTGAGCCTGGGCTGTACTTTGCCATTGCACCCCATGCAGAAGCACCCTAAACCACTTCCATTTCCTCCTGCGAATAATGCCAGTGGCCTGTATCCTGCAACCACAGTTTTCTCTATAGTCCCTGATTTTGTTTGGAAAACAAATGGTATTTTCAGCCATTGAAGAAAATGTATTAAAAGTACACAGATTAAGTTTTTATGAGCCTGCTGGTAGCTGAATCGTTGGCATCACAAGTTTTGCAAACAAGCTCACCTGAAGGCTATGCTACCTGGAAAACATGAAGATGACAGTCTGAACATTATCTTTGCTGACTATTTTACAGGTGGTTATTTCTGCAGCAAACAGCTTACAAGTGTTTAGCCCACAATTCTTGACTTAATTTTCATATTTGAACCAATGCAACATTTGATTATCATGTTTCTTTAGCAGATACAGAATTCATGTTTTGTCCAGGCAAGGACACGTTTCCGCTGAAAGCACCTTCACCTTACCACACTGCATGTAGGAGTTTGCATGTACCGTTCCTTGCCATGCCATCCTCCAAGGAAAGTAGCTGAACTTTGGTTACACACAACTTAGCATCCAACAAAATGGTCAGATAAAAGTGCCTACACAGCAGAAGTCAGCCAACACTCTGCAGGTGGGCCCTGGAGCAGCCCTCAGAAGCCAACTAGACCCAGCCAGTAGCAACTTAAAGGTGACAGACTCCGTATCTGTTCCCAGCTAGCATCCCTCGTCAGCTCCCTGCTTGCTAAGCTGCTGCTTCATTTGTGTTTTCTGTCCCAACCACGTACTGTCTGCATGACAAGCCACCTGGGGAATGGGTGAGACTTCCTTGAAGACAAATTGACTCATGTGTTCTGCAGATACATGGCACTAAGCACCACTTGCAAAGGGATTTTTTCCTCTACAATGCCTCCAAAGCTAGAAGCAAGACCTATATAAACATGCGAGAAATCTCTGAGCGCTTCCGGCTACCTCCCAGCGAGTACGTCGTCATCCCATCGACATACGAACCCCACCAGGAGGGAGAATTCATCCTGAGGGTCTTCTCAGAGAAAAGAAGTCTTTCAGAGTAAGTTGCAGATCCATTTATCTGGCCATAAAGGTGGAGGTGAGCTTACTAGTCTGTTATAGTCATGTTCCCAGTTTGCTACACCCTGCTTTTAATTTTCTTAACCTCGTTACAAACTCCAAGCTGCAAACTCATTTCCCCAAGCTTCCCTTATAGTCTAAGAAGAGCCTACTTTGAATTGTCTTTGGAGAAGCTTGCTACTTGCAGGATATCCTTTGTAAACATACCATTAGCCATTTTTAATAACAGAAATGAACCTGTTCGTTTGTTTTTCATTGCTATATGCCACTGGCTGAAGTTTTGGCCAGATAGATCATTGAACCAGATCTACTTTCATGAATAAATGAATGTCATAAATAAAACACAGAAGTAGGTAGTTGTTTCTTTTCCATCCTGCTCTTCAACTAGTTCCCCAGAGCTCAGCAAATTGCAGCCAGTGTCACTTTGCTTAGGCCAAACAGCTTCTGTTTTACTCCCAGCTGCTGAAGTTCAGAGTTATCAAGGCTCTTTAGAGGAGTAAACCAGGCAGCAGCGCTCCTGGAAGTGGTACTTGGGATGCTCAGCTCAAACGGGGAAAAGCTACGTCTAGAGCCTGCAGCTGTGATGCTTGGAAGCCAGCTCACACCACTGCCTGTTTGGAAAGTTCAAGTGGCTGCTTACAAACCAGCTACAGAAACAAGCAATGTTGGGAACAGCCACTTTCCTGATTTATTTACTTTCTGCTTTCTTCTAGGGAGGTTGAAAACATGATTGAGGCAGACCGTCCATCGGTAAGTACTGTCCTGAGCCTCTTCGGTATGTGAATAGAAGTATGGAGGGGAAGAGCATCACATCTAGGGAAACCTGCAGCAGGACACCATTTGTGGCCACACGACAGCTCCTTTAGCATAAATTCCCACATTTCTCATCAAGATACTTTTATTAACACTTGCTTTATATACACTATTTTCTAATTTGGGCAGACCAAAATCTTTTGCCAGATTTGAAGTCTGTTGGTGGCATAAAGAAGCTGGATGCTAAGCATTGCCTTTGCCTCCATCAATTGAGAGTATTCATTTACTGGGGAGGTCTAGCTCTGTGCTCTGAGATTTGTCTGTGATATTGGTATCTCATCTAACATAGAAAAAAGTACCTTATTTTGAAGTATGTGCTTTCTGGAAAGGGGCCTTACTGATATTCTGATTCAAACTAACATCCATGACAAGCTCTAACTCTTCAGCCTGGGGTTTTACACATCTATATGGGATTATACTAGAGCTAACAATGCAATTAGTCTTGAAAAAAAAAAATCAAAGGAAATGCTTTTGCACAGAACAGAGTGCCATCAAACTTTGCTCAGAAGTGTTCCCTTTTTGTCTGCTGTCATGATAACAAAATAGCTGTCCAGATCTGGTGGCATTGCCACTTCAGATAACATTGATCTGTGGGCGCAGAATTCCAATCTCCACTGCACTGACAGGCTGGGAAAAGGAAAAGGAATAGTCAGAGCTAAAGGTACAATAGAGATTTTATTCAAGCAGACAAAGCCCCAGCTGAGATGGGACACTGTTTTGCTATGGTTTCTGCAATTTCTGTCCTTCAGTATGCAATTTCTTGGTGGGTTTGAAAGCTGTATGAATATAAGAATGGGAAAAATAAATGTGAGAAGGGGAAAGAGAAAAAAAGAAATTTTACCATCAGCTCTGCATAATATGCATAAAATCTACAATTCTGTTTAAAACCACTTTTTTTTTTAATTGTCTCTTTTTGTACAGAAGAAGAAAAAGGGCAAGGTGGGTATTTGTGCAATGTGCTGAGTGCAAGACAAAGAGCACGTGCAATGCATGCAGCATGAGCAGAGTTCCTTGGTATCATTAGTGATTTCTCTGCATCTGGAAACTGGTCTAGTTAATGAAGGGCACTGGGTAAGAGGCCATTTGCAGGCAGCAAAGACTTTGTCTTCCTACACTAAAAGCTAATGAAATAGCTACAGCGCTATATACCCCCCTCACTCAAGCAAAAGGGTGACAGAAACTTTTCAGCTGTACAGGCTTGATCCTCTGGGTTGCTCAACTGCCCTTCCTTCTTGCCCCTCCACAGACATCCCAACACCCCTTTCTAGTGAAAATCACCCCTTCTCCAGACACATGCCCTCACATTCGCTTTCCATTGCCTAATGCAGCTACTCCTCTTTCCTGAAGTTTCTGCTCACCAGAGTCCAGGATTCTCCTTTCAATTCTAAACAACACATTTAGGACCCTGAAAATGTAACCAGGCATTTTAATCTCAAGACAGGCTGGCTGCAATTAATACTCTAGGGTAACACATTTGCATCTTGTAGCAGCTTTCCTTGTTTTAAATGCACTAAAACAGAACAACTGCATGTGGCTGCTTACAGCTGAATGCTTCAAGAATTAATACAGAGAAAAAACATAAGCTTTGCATAATTAACAAGCTCCTACACAAATACTCACTTTCAGTGTAGGATTCAGATTCTGTTTGCTTTCAGTGCTACTGTCCTTCATAGAGAGGGGCAAGTTCATCAGTTTAACTGAGAGTTGAGAATCTGGGAAGCTTATTTTGCTTTAAAAAAAAAAAAGTAACATTTAAACAGTTACTGGCTTTCTGAAAAGGAAAGCTAGAAGCCAGCGATTGCACTATTTTGCAAAAAGACTTTTGCAGCTTTTTGAGCATGAGGAGAACAGTAACTCCAGAGATTCCTCCACCTTTTCTTTTCTTTCTTTTCTTTCATTCCCAGCTCCAGCTTCTCCAGGCACCCTCTCAGGGCAGGAGCTGTTGCTGCATGCGCTTTACCACAGCATGGGTGTCCCCAAATACTTTCCCTTCCACTATTTTTTGTGTAATTTCCACTTCTCTTTTGCTCTCTTCCTTCTTCTTCTTCCTCTAGCCTATCATCTTTGTTTCTGACAGAGCGAACAGTAATAAGGAGCTGACAGCAGATGAAGACACTGGCAAAGACGGTGAAAAAACCCCCGTAGATGAGAAAAAGGTTTCTGCAGCAAGTGGCAAGGGGGAAAATAGGCCTTGGTCTGGCTAGCATGAAAGAGTGGCTGGGGAGAGCACAGGAATGGGGCAACATCCTTAGATACTTAACAGCTTTTCATCAAATCTGAGCATAACTTGCGTTTGGTTTATGTGGATCTAATGAGCATGAGTGAACAGAGACTATCCCTTCAGTTATTTAACACCTGTGCTGGAGGATGTAGTTGCTTGAAAACATCTCCTGGTTGCTTTCTCATACAAAGATCCCAGCTATGAGAGATCCCTTCCCCACGAGCAGCGCAGTTCAATGCACTCTTGCTCAGCCCCCTGAAGCGGTACCTGCTTTACACAGGGTACACGTGCAAATTGCATCTGAGGGGCTTCAGGAGCTCCTGGCAATGATCACAGCCTCTCCCCACTACAAATTACACAGCCCTATACCAGTCCCCATTGGCCAGAGAAAAAACGCCTGAGTAACCCCAGGAGCACCTGCACCCCTCCTCTTTCCTCTCACTACTGGAGAGGAGGAAAACAGGGTAGCAAATTCAGAGTTTCTGCCTGCAGGTGGGTCAGGGACGCAAGATGCAATGGCCAGATCCTGCACCCAGGCTCGTGGCATCTGGAGGCACGGCTCGAGTGTCTGCTTACAGGGAGCGTGCTGTTCTGCTGCACGACTGCCAGAGCATGCAGGTGGCGAAGTGGGAACCGATCTTAACTTTCCTCTGCATTTAGACAAACAAAAATAAGAACTAAGCCTAGAAATTCACTTTACTATGTTACACATAATTCCTGTAATTTAATATTGGGGGGGGGGAGGGGGGAATAAAATATAGTTTCCTTTTTCAGTATCAGCCTCAGAGTTCAGGGCTTGCTCTTTGCATGTGTCTGAGAACGCTTCACTTTCATCATTTTCCTCTGTCTCATGTGCTACTTGACTCCAGCAAGGGGCCCCCTGCATTATGAAGAGCTCTCAAGCCTGAGTCCCTCTGGTCAATTCATAGCCTACAGGGTGGCTATGGAGCAGATATGCCTCTTCTGCTCCAAACTTCTCCTTTGCAATGTTTTGAAACAAAAAATTAGTAGATAAACGTCTGTCAGTGAAAGTAATAATTTAAGCTCCTTCCAAGAGAAAGGAGAACAATGGGATGAAGTTAAATACTTGACAGTTTTGCCAAGGAATACATTTAACCAAAAAAAGGGGAAATGAACAGAAGGATGACCCATTCCTCTGAAGACCTCCAGATTCACTAAGAGGCTCCTTCATGCAAGGGCGAGTGAGCCCCCCGGGCCCTTTCCCTTCCCTGCTGGGCTAAGGTTGTATCTCTGCTTGTCTCTTTTCAGCGTCCTTCAGCAAAAGCTCGTGAGGGGAGTGAAGAGGAAAAACAGTTCAGGAATATTTTCCGACAGATTGCAGGGGATGTGAGTATGCAACCAATCCCTGTCTCTGCCACCAAAGCAGCCTAGCCACAACAGCACCTAAATTAACTGCATCACGGATTCAAAACACTGAATTTTAAAATTTCCTTTGAATTTCCTCCCATCAAATTTCCTTTGAGATCTGAAGCTAAGCAAAATCAAATTAAAATCCAATTAAGTATACAGCTATCCTCAGATGTACATATAAGCTATTCCCATTGTGTACAAGGGAGCCTTCTTTAAATTCAGGCTTTTACTTCTATCACTGCTACAAGATGCTATTTTGCATAGCATGTATAAACAAGCTAGAAATACAATGCCCTCCAGTATATGCTTAACGAGGGAAGTTAAAAGTAAAAACAGATCAAAGAACTGCATAAATCAAGAGGCTGCAAATGGGTTACAGGGATTTTTGGCTTGCACAGTGGCTTGAAATTACTGGTCATTCTTCTAGTTGTAGTTTAATAAGCACTATACAGTAACTTTAGACCTACCTTGTACTGCAGCCTCAAGAAAGATTTGGACTAATGTTTAGATGAACTAGAATGCTCTCTAGTTTGAAGCACGTATATGCCATACTGAAAAGTGACCAAAGACAATACTTTTAGCATATCCACCCATAAAATGACCTGCTTAATAGGGAATGTTGTAATTAATGATATTCTCACCACATTTCCCGCCAGGACATGGAGATCAATGCTGAAGAACTCAGGAATGTTCTCAATAACGTCGTAAAAAAACGTGAGTTTGAGCATGTTTTTCAGTAACTCTGCACAAAGAAATCTGTGATATAATGTAACCCTCCACGCCTGAGGTGCACCCTAAAAATTATTTACGGCTTCAAACTCACAAATTTCCTAGTTACGCTTCCATGGACTTTGCATCTGAGACTTTAGCGAGCTGGACTTTTCATAGAAAGGCTCTCTACGAGTGATCAAGTACTCATAACGCAGAAATGAGCAAATGTTCATTGGAAGCACCACACAGGATAATATAGCATCTCTAGCAGGCTGCAAATGCCCTTTAAAAAAAAAAAAATCCTAACGGAGAGGCAGACCTTTCTCCCTATTTAGCAAACTTTCGCCTACAGACCCTGGGCTTGCTTAGTTACCTGGAAGTTAGTTTAGAGTTTTCCAGAGGGTTTTATTGTATATAACAGGTCAAGAAAAGTAATCTCTAATTCACAAGCAATAACATTACTTAGAGTCTTTTCAGATTTCTCTACCGCTTTTTTCTTACTGGATGAAGGAAGTAGGGTTGGCTTCTAATTTCAGTAGAGTTACACCTAAAAGGAAGAAGCGTTCGCTGACTTGCATGATCTGTTTTCACCTGGCATCATTTATTTCAGATAAGGACCTAAAGACAGAAGGATTTGAACTGGAATCCTGCCGCAGCATGATTGCTTTAATGGATGTATCCTTTTCTGGTGAAAGAGGAGTGCTTGATACCACAGTAGTCCACTTGGGTCGTATTTCCCACCGCTGCACACACACAACTTAGTAAGCCAGGGAAGCAGAACAGTACATTATAATCTGTAGTCGGATAACACAGCATTCCTGGTTTGGCACATCTTAACTCCAGTCATCTCAACATTAGCGTAGTTGGCAGATGAAAATATCCCAAAACAGAAAACTACAGAATAAGTCAGTCAGCACGATACCCTTCCTTAGGTATCAGTGACTGGCCAGCTCACATACTAAAGCATGATTTTAAAATTTTTTTTGTTTAAACCAACTCAACATTAACTACAGTTCTTGCCAACAAACTTACTATATTTCTCTCTTGTCTTTACGTTTATAATGTATTATACATTCCACTGTCTGCTTAGCATGCAACGCATACAGAAATTGTCTCAGAGCAAGTATAATAAAACACACTACAAGATGCATATGGGGTTACCTCTGATACAACATCACTCAGTTTTCCTATTTGACATAATGCATGATTTTGAGAGAACATAAGCACATTCAAACATAACCAGAACAAAATTGTAACTACAACCCAGAGCCATAATGGTTGGAGCCTAAACACATTTTGGTAAATGGCTTTAGTCAACATTTTGCTTAGTTCTCAATTCATTTTAAGCAAGGCAGAAACCGCTTCACACTAGGATAAAGCTCAGTTGTCTTAAAAACATTGGGTAAGCTTAATATTTGGAGGTATTTGGAAAGAGCCCTCTAAAACGTCCTGCTCATGTACTTTATGATAGCTCCAGGAGCAAGCCTCTCTCCTGTACCAGATGTTTGCTTCTACACAAAGTACAAATAGTACTTCACACTCCTGAAACAAAATACTATGCACAATAACCAAAATGTTCACAAATATTTTACTGCACAGCTCAGCCAGCTCTTAGTGCTGAGGAGATCCTGAACTCAGTTTCACATTCATCCCTTCACCAGTAGCTGCAGACTTAATTAATTTTCTCTTAAAAATATTGTGGTTTTTTTACTTGAATGCTTGCATCACAGACAGACGGCTCAGGGAAGATAAACTTCGATGAGTTTCGACATCTCTGGGACAAGATTAAAAGCTGGCAGGTATTGCTGGTATCTGCAGTGCTGTTCTTCACAGCTTCTGCAGCACAAAAGCTTGTGTAGGAAAACCAGACCTCTCTACATACACTACCACAAAAACAAAAGCCAAAAAAATTGCAAATTAGCTTCTAAAAAGAAAAGTAATGTCTCTCCTCATCCTACTCACAGCCTAAGCAAATAGCCTGAATCTCCAAAGCTCCAGCACTCATGTAAGCACTTCCCCCATTAGAATAGCATGGAGGCATACATATTGGAGGAGGAGGGTGATGGGAACTAGAATCAGGCCTCGCAAATAGCTTAATTAGGACAATCAAGAGAGAAGTTAACAGCATAAACTCAAGTCAAACAAGGAGAGTCTCTAGGGGAAAGCTTTTTGCTTCTCACAGCATGGATCTAAATTATTTTACTTTGTGACTGAGAGGAGCTCTGTGCTAACAACCCAGACTGCCCAGAAGCAGCAATATAAGGCAAATGGCAAAGCCTCCAAGTGCCTGAGGCACACATCCCATACCTGCTCAGTGGGTACATTCAACAGAAGTTAAGCTTTTGTTTCTGTTGTTTATTTATTTTTTTCTTTTTCCAGAAAATTTTCAAGCGTTATGACACGGATCATTCGGGAACCATCAACAGCTACGAGATGCGCAATGCAGTCAATGATGCAGGTACTTCTAGTGTTCAATGCCCAACAGCCAAAGAAACCTTATTTTGGTTGATCTATCACAGGGTGAGATCAGGAACACAGTGCAGCCTTTTAAAAAGAGACCCTACAGAAATTCAAAAATCCTTTTTTCCCCGGCAGAGCTTTTAAAATATCCAAAAGGCAAGTCTTGTATGTCTTGCCAACCAAACAGATCTCTTCAGCTCTTTAAACTTTCCAATGAATGATGCTCTGCTGTCTTAAGGATCTCCCACTCAGGGTCCTCCTGTTCAGGGGGACCAGCGAGCCCTGAAGACATCTGATTTCATTTAAGCTGTGGATTCTTTATGTTTGTATAAGTAGCAATCAAAGAACAGCATAAAACCTTCAACCCAAGTGTACAGGCACTGAAACCAAGGCAGAGCAGGTCAATGTCCAAGTTTGCATCAGAGGCAACTGGATGGACATTTCCTGAGTCCTGCTTGTGTTTCTTAGTGGCACTAAGCCACTGCAGGCTCAGTCTCCTCTTCTACCTGCGCAGTAAGAAGAAAGTATTTTGCGAAAGTTGTAGTTAATGAAATTCATCCTGCAAAGAGAGGCTTTTGACTTTTCTTGCTTCTTGTCTCAAGCACATTGGTGTGCTTCTTTCCCTGGACAGCAGGCCTCCCCCAGCAAATGCTTTACCAGCTGCTGTTTCTCTAAGGGACCAAGATGGCTTCTTTAATCAGAAAACCTGTAGCATTACTATAAACCTAAATGTGACACTTTATCTTCAGTAGTATTTTGGCACATCAGTCACCAGTTCATCAAGGAACAGAAACAGATGGCTGTCTTACACTTTACAAAACATCAGTGATTCAATCTTTTGCTAAGGACAAAACTACCCCTGGATTTGAACTCCTGCTGCAGTAGAAATACAGGTCATTTTTATTTTCCGGGTTTCCATTCTCGCCAGGAAAGTTGTCAATGTAAAAAAAAAATGATTTAAATACCTCCTGCCCTGACCTTAGAACTAAGAAGACATTTTGCAATAAAAATTTCTCAGTCTTACAGCACGTAGGCTGTGCCTGACCTTGCATTTAGCCAACAACCAGCAGTACCCAAATTACGACAGACCCTTTGTGAAGCGTGGTCGTGCGCTGCAGCAGCCAGCGCCACAGTTCGGTAACGCCACACCGAGGAGTTACCTCCTTATCTATTTTTTGACCATTGTGTAATTGTGTTTTCATAGCAACTTCCTCCTATGTTTCTGTCGCCCAGTTTCTGTCGCTTTGCTCTTATCAGGCTCAGCTAAGCTGCAAACTCTTCAGTGGAGACCCTTCTTCATATTTAAAGCGTGAGGTAACTCACATGCTACTGGCCCTCCCAAATCGTAATTTCAAAATGCTACTTCTGTTTTAAGAAAGCAGCTGGACACGGGGAAGCTTCTTATAGCTTTACTTCATTTTATTTAGCGGCTGCAGCAGTACCCTCCAGCCTGAGCCTCGGCTGGGCCTGGGAAGTGCCTATGGCCAAACCTCTCCTGGAGGCCTGATCGGCGCCAGCGCTTCCCCCCGACCGCAGCCCAGCTGTGCCCCATTTCTGGTCCTCTGCAGGGTTTCGGCTGAACAACCAGCTCTACGACATCATCACCATGCGCTACGCCGACAAGAACATGAACATCGACTTTGACAGCTTCATCTGCTGCTTCGTGCGCCTGGACGCCATGTTCAGTGAGTGGCTGCCCCGGTTTTACTGCGCTGCCTCCCCTCCTCGCCCCCAAAATGCACTGTTGTACTCAAAGCACTACTGCCTATGTATAGTTTTAATAATTTATGTGCTTAGGGAATCTAAAATATGACAGCCGTCCCATACAAACACAAAAGAAAAGAAGCCATTGCATTTCTCTTTGTATTAGCTAAGGAAAAACAGCAGAAATACTTGCTGACCACGTAAGTACCTGCACAAGTTTGCACAACGCAGCAGGAGCACAATTTGGTTTGGTATCTGGAATCATCTTTACACACACAGTAATTTAATCTACTCTATATACTTTTGTTTCCTTGCTTTAGGGGCATTCCACGCCTTTGATAAAGATGGAGATGGCATCATTAAGCTCAATGTCCTGGAGGTAAACTGGTTTGTGCCAGTATTTCTGACACAAAGTCACAATACTAAATGCTATTTGTATTATTCCTCGCACACGTTCTCAAGGGAGCCTATGAGAGCTGGTCTGAAATTGTCATCCAAGTGATAAGAGTCTGCAAAACCGCCTAAAAATTTTGCTACCTATTTTACCCAGAAAATACCTGTATCCATGATCTGCCAGCAACAGCTGCTCTGTAAGACTCTAGTTGGTGCTGAAGGGCACAGCTGCAGACTCTTCATATCATCTTTAAAGTGTTTCAAAAAACCTTTGAGGTGGTTATTTTTTTTTAATGAGGCAATTTAAATCAAACATACTTTAGTTTAAAGGTGTTAACTGATAATGGGGTTTAACATAGGTTCTTTACCTTTTTTTAAATTTTATTAAGACCACTTAGAAAGTTTCAACTTAAAAGCATGTCTGCTGCTAGGGAGACCACAAAAAACACTTCATTTTTTGCAAGTGAAGGAGGAATAAGAGCTAGAAGCCTAAGACAAAGTTCCCTGCTGCCAGTATGCTTCATACTAAGTATCAGCAAGCAGCTGCCTTCCAGCTGCAGAGATGGTGGTGTCTCAAATTTGTTGGAGGATGCCAAAAAGTCTTTCATCCTTTAATTCTAACTCTTCTTTCAGTGGCTGCAGCTCACAATGTACGCGTAACACCAGAGCCAGCGCCCACCTTCATCAAGAAAGCGCTGAAGACTTCCGTTTTGAGTAACTAGCTCCATTCATCCCCAAGTGCAAACAAGAGCATTTCCTAATTATGTGCTTCACTCGCCGAGATAAACAGCACATGGGAAGAATCCATTGGAAAAAGAGACAATCATACTCCAGTGGGCAGACCAGTGTGCCTATTCTATAACTACTTTTATAACATCCTGACATTTTCCTTCGGACAACAAGGATTAATTTATTGATGACTGAATTAAGCTTTTTCTGCATGGTAAAGACATGGAGCATGCATCGTTATTCTGCTTATGCTGACAACTGGAACAGTCTTCCCTCAAGTTAGGCAAAACGGGGACTGTATTTGAACTGTGGAAGTCAGAGTTTTTTACTACCACCTTGTAATTAGTCATTAACTCTTTGTCCTGCTTTTGATACTATCATTTCAGCCTCTTCATAATGTGGACTGAATATTTCACATGCTATTGTGCTAGATTACTGTCATGACAATTAATTACATTAATATTATGTATCCCGATCACTTATGTTGTTATAGATGTGGCTGTGCAGGTTGATTCTCTGCTATGCTAGAAATGTGGAAGTAAGGCACAACACGCTGCCATACCTAGATACATCTTGGTCTAGTGCCTCTGCAAAGGTGTCGGAACTGAACAATTTGCTCTCATTTTTAATACCCCCATGGTATCTTAATTACACATTGGACATTTAAAATGTTTTTTATTGTAACTGCATTCTCTGTAACATTGAGAAAGTTGTTTACCTCTTACACATACAAATCTCTCTCTCTACACACACATTTCCTCTTCCCCACCCCCTCAAGGTCCTATTTCCTGACAATATTGTGTATTTCTTTATTTTAAGAGGTGACTTGTAGCAGAACCAGACTCTATGTTAACATGACCACTTTGGGAAGATTAGAATGTGTAAGTACAAGTAGTTTAATTGAACCAAAAATAAAATCAACTGGATTTTGGCCTAATCTTTAGGGTTGTTTTTTGGTTTTATTTTGAAAGAACAGAGGAGGATGAAACATTGAGCACTCTTCCGTCATTCTCCTGAATATACAGCAGCTTCTGGAGTTTTATGGCAAGCGTGAAATCAGCTTAATATCTCAAACACTTGCCAGTTTGCTCCTTGAATGCGTTAAAAATAAAAAAGCACTTGAGCTTGAGAGCTCCATCGTTACCAGCTTTAAGGATGACAGGCTTTCAGAACTGGTGAATTGTTGATCAACATAAACATGGAAGGAAAAACAAAATGTGCAAGAAGAGGTGTGAAGAGACCAGACTTTGCCAGGAGAACCTTCTACTTAGTTGTCTACTGGTGAAAAGTAACAAAGCAATCCACTATTGTAAAGCAAAATTGTAAAAACAAATCGTAGCATCCACTCAAAGTTATTCTGGTAAGTGGCACATTTAACTGAAAGGTCACTAAGAAACAGAAAACCTTCTGACTATAAAGTTCCTAATGTTGTCCTGCACTCTAACTTACTCTGAAAGAGTAAGAAAATCCTGTAGTTTATCTAAAGAAGAGTTATTCTCCTTTAAATTCAACTGTTGTTTTAACCCAAATGAAGTTTTTAAGATGACTGGAACAGTAGGAGCTCTGGGTTCCAGCCATGTGCTCTCTCCACTAAGCTATTATTTTCCATACAAAAATATGGCAGAGATGCTCTTGGTTAGGGTGTTCAGAGAAAAAACAAAATCTATCAGTCAAAAGATCAAAATCAGGATTTTTGACTGGCAACTCAAAACTGCTCCTTAAAGTCCTGGTGAGTGAACTACCAACAGCTCTAGAGCACTTCCCCTTGCAACAGGCCATGAAGCAAGGGAGTCAGTAGGTCATCTTGGCGGCACCAGCTGCGTGGGCAGTTTCCATTTTCCCTGCCAAACGACTAAGTCTGAGATTCCTGCACGTCGGGAGCAAAAACTTGCAACATTCCTGCCAGTGCTGGAGCTTCAAAGTGGCCTGTCTGATTTTATCCAGCCCTCTTAAAAAAGAAAAAACGTCCAGAACAAAGTCAAGGTCTGCCGAATCCTGTGAAAGAATCATTCTATTCAAAGCAAAGAAGAATCAGACTGACAAACCATAACAATATAAAGAACTTTTATTTTTCTTTTTTTTTTTTCTTCTTTTTTCTTCTTTTGCTGTGTAAAGTTTCGTTATTACACTCACAGCTTTGTACCAAAGTGAAAGAAGAAAACCAAGGTCAATCTGTGCACATGTTCTACACAGCTTAAGTTATTAAATATTCACTCATGTTGTTTTATTCCACTTCCATTCTTCAAAAAGACTGTTTAACACTTAAGCAAAATGAAATTTGAGAAGCTGGCAGGTGCATATAACAGAATATATACCTACACAGTTTGCTCTTTACTTTCACTATTAAATATTTTACAAACAGTAGCTGAAACTGTTTCCTTATCCTTCCTCACATACTCTGGAACTCTGGACAACTTAGACTGTTTGAATGATACAGTCTTGTACCATGCAAGCCTGAAAACCAAGATTCATCCGTACCTGTGTTCGAATACAAAAGAAGGGAAAAATATTTTCTCAACACCACATTTTTGTTTCTGGGAACCTACAGTTTACTGTGAGTTTTCAGTTATCGTTTACCTTGATCTGGCATTGTTGTACAGTTTGAAAGCGTGCGTTAGGAACTGCACTACTTCAAACACACCGCACAGCCAAACTCCTGCTGTTTTGCAGAAGTCAGCTCGTGTGCTGACAATATGTTTAAAGTCTGCAATCCACACAGAAGTGACACAAGGCAAGCAGAAGCTGGGATATTTAATGCATCTTTGTACCAACGGATGCAGCAGTTTTCTCTCTGGCCCTTTCCACGTACAGAAGCAGCAGCGTTAGACCATAAAGTATTTTGCACTGTCAGTTAACTTATTTTTCCCTGTGATTTGAAGGAAAAAGGAGCAACAAATACAGACCAATCCTAGCATTGTCTTATCATTCAATACATGTGAGGTTATCGGGGTTGGGGAAGGTTAAGCTTTGCAGCACATGTGAACTTCAAGTGATCATTTTATGCTACTCACGCCCTCCTTTTGGAGCTCAGGCAGGGCTTGGTATGCCCATGGTGCAACAAGTTCTCATGCTTTTGAAAAGAAGGATTTAAGCAGTTTCAGTAGCACCTGGCCCATTCTTTAGATCATAAAAGACCATAATACCTCTGAGCACTGTACTCTGTCCGTTGAGAAGTTTCATAGCTTAATAAGCCCAATGCCAGTCCTGCTAAAAGGAAAACGGTCGCTTGCCCCCCAAAGAGCCTACCATTTTTAGTCAGCCGTATACCAAGTCCAGAGCTCATTATTTAACATTTGACTAATAAAATAAACACAGCTAACCACAAAATAAACCCTCACCTTACTCACTCTTCCACTCACAACTTTTTACTTGCATAAGAAACAAATGGAAAACAAAAATAGTCCTGAAACAGGCTTCAGATGTGCAGTACTGCTTTTCACGCAAATATTACTCCGTTAAATATTACAAATAGTCCGCCTTCCCAAAGTTATTACACTCTTTGACCGGAGGTATATCAGGAGTCAAAACCCTAAGCTGCAAGACCGGAGAGGATCTCATTAATGGCTACCAAGCCAATACATTAGTTTACCACCCCTCTTCTGCAACCACCTCTGGAAGAAGTGAACGGCCATTAGCGAAAGCTGCACCTAATTCCAGCTGAACAAACAGGAAACCTTGCCACAGAACTCCAGAGAAGCCTGGGGATTTCCACAGATGTACAACAACTTCATAGCAAATCCTTTTAAGATATTCTCAGGACAAAGCAGCACAGCATTTTCCTCTGAACCCCTGAGCAATTTTTAAAATTGTTTTTAATTTATGAAGCAAAATTTTATAAACACTCATGCAGCTCTGCTATTTTCCTGACTCTTATCCATTTTAAGATTCTTACAATATATCTGAAATGACCTACAAAGTAGCAAAAGACACCACTGCTAAAGCTAAAGCTGGATTTCAGAAGTCCAGACTTTTCAGGACTGTTTTCAAGGACAGATAAGGAAATGTCATGGACTACAAGAAAAGGAAGTCTGCTTCCACCAACTAGAAAAGATAAACCCAACAAGCAATCAGGAATGCAAACAAAGTGTAATAACTTTGTTTGTTGCAACACCTAGTGAGAAAGATCTTTATATGTTCCTGAAAACAGTTGAAAGAACGTGAAGAATCACAAGGAAGAAGTAACAAAACCTACTCTCACACGCCATTTTTCAGAATGCTACAATCACTCCACATGCTTGTCCTCAGGACACACACCTCCACAGCTTCACTTCAAGCACAGTCCATGAAGGACAGCTTGAGACGTTCACATTGTTTATGCCATACTTTTACATGCTCCCTCATTGTGGTTCAAAAAAAACCCAGAAAAACTCTTGAACATCAATAATTTCGGAAATGGTTTAAGTATTACGCAGTATTCTGCTTAAGTCATAAAAAACCACATACTCTCGGAGACTCTAGAGCAATACAGCCTGCATCAGGAAACATTTACACTGCTCAGAGATTTCCCTAAACTTGATTCTCTCTTGAATTGCTTCATCCACAGACCACAGAAAGGAAAAAAAAAAACAAAAAACCAACCAAACAAAACTACAAACACACCCCCCAAAAGCCAAAACAAAAACACCCTCAAAACAGCCTGGGGTCTGAGCCACATACTGGGTTTTTTTCCTGTCCACGAACAGCTTAATAAAAAACCCCAAACAAATCACCGCTAAACATTGGAACTTCAGAGATTCACAAGTCTTTGAAGTAGGATGCCACTGCATCTCATTCCTACTTTACTCCCGTCTCACAAAAAATCATCAATGTCAAGCAATTGCAGAGAAATTATGCTTGTCCGCTAAGGCAATACAAAAATAGCGTGCTTCAGAGAAGGCCCTGAAGTTCCTTGATTTGATGGCAGACTGGAACATCCATGGGCTTCCCTCAATCACTTTCTTGGCCTAAAAAGGCTTCTTCGTAGTCAAAGGATGAGGCTATAAAACTTACTTGGTCTACGGTTGGCACACCAAGCCTCAAAGTAGTGGCGAAAGAGATGCTAAAATAAATACAGTAAAAATAGAACATTCAGTTTGTTTGAACAGCGCTGGATTCATTTATAAGCAGCTCAGTTTTGACACTAGGCTGTGTTGACCTTCTGTTACAGTTTAAGGAAACCACTGCTTTTTTTATCCTGAGCAGCAAGCTAGGCAAAAGTGAACACAAAGCTCCTTACTAGATTAGTCTCATTGTTTAAGAGAGCTCTTTGCTAAGTTAGTGTCGTTATGGGAGAGAGGACCGCAAATGCAAGAAGTACATTTCACTGACTTCACGGGTAAAGTTTTCCACCCCAAGGGACACCTGCAGAGGAACCCTGACAAGTAGAAACAGTCTTCCCCTCTGCACTGGCTTCTCTGTGGTACCTTCTGTGCATTAGCAGAAACAAGACTTTTACATGTGATATGCATTTTGTGTCCTCAGCTTCTGCTTGAGAACTTTAGATTTTAAAATGTTTTAAAATCCTGCTCCATTCTTTCCAGTTGAGGTTTTGTCAACTTGATATAGCCCAAGCCAATTAAGCCAGTTCACAACAGAAACAAAATACTACCTAAGTGGATGCACTTAGACAGGCAGTGCCTTTGCATTTCTCTTAGTTTGCTATGCCATGAAGATATAGGACCGCAAAGCTCAGTCACTAAGATTCCAAATAAACTCAGGAATCCGACTATGGTGTTGTATCAAGATAGCAGTGGTTATGCTGGTATTTAATAAAACAAAAGCCGACACCACTTACTTCTTTCCTGTACATGAGGACCTATATTTAAACTAAGATTGCAAAGCACGTTGAGTGGAGCCGCTGTTCTGGCTGTTTTGCTGCTACTGGCATACCTCTCAAGAAATAACGGCTTTCCTCCAAATAAACAAAATACTTCATGAGGTACAGTATTTAGGGCAGCCTGTCACTGTATATATTGTGCCAGTTATAGCAATTTTTACATAAGGAATAAAAAGTAAGTTACAATTAACATTAAAAAAATTAATTTATTCCAGTTCTCCATAAAATACCTTTTCTTTTTATGAAGGACGTCAAAATGTACACTGTGTATACAATGTTACACTGTTAGAATTTGTGATATTCTGGTTTGCAGAATTTTATTAAAATCAGCTAAAAAAATTGGATACAACATGAAAACAGACACGTCTTAGACACTTAAAAGGCTTCAAGCTGAGTTTGCAAACGCCAGCACCTATTGTAATCTAAGTTCTCAACACCCCTCTGGACTTCCCAGAGACTCTCAGACTATGCTTCTTAAGAAACAGAACAAAACAAAAAGCAAACAGAAAAAACAAAGAACAAAAAACCAAGGCAGACAAGAGGAGGGAATATTCTTATCTGCCAATGAATTAAAAACTTGCAAGAATCTTCCATTTGGGCCATGTCTTAATTGACCAGCCTTATTTCTACAGAGTGCAACACAACCTGCAGTCTCTATAGCAAGGCATTTCAGCCCCACTCCATTTTTGCATTCCAAGTGGGAAAAGAAAGAGGAAAGACTGGAGTAAGAAATTGATGTTACTTGGAATAATTCTGACATATAAAATTACTTCCCAATGTGGGAGGTGAAAAGCTTCATGAGTCAATCCTGCTGTCATCCTCAGCATGTCTTTCAATGTGTCCTACAGCATCCTAGAAAAGAACCAGAGAAGTCAGTTTAAAAAAAAAAAAAATTTTGCAAAATATTCTTTACTATTTTCAGTCAAACTGACATTTGGGATAATATACATTTTTTGGCTTAAAACTTCTAAAAAAAAATTGGAAAAAAAAAAAAATCAATGCCAAGCTATTAAATCACATATATAAAAGTATCTCACATACCACGTGATTCAAGGCAAATAAAAAACAGCTTCCTTTCTGATTAGAAGGGTATACCAAATAAACACATCATATCCAAAGCCAGTGCTTAAAAAGAAATTAAGGATTCTACTTATGTTTCTTCGTTCTCAAAGAAACCTCCTGCCATTGCGTATTTTGAAAAGCATTCAACAGGAAGGTAGTTTGTATGGCCAAGGAGTAAAATGTGGATTTCACCAACCAGTGTTACCTGTTAGCCTACAGGTAACAACCCTCCTTCCACCCACCCCCCAACCCTTTCCACATCACTTAATCCAACTGACATCCAACTCTCATGCCTTCTTCATTTTTTTCCCATCTGTGCTAACATTTACTCAGAAATTTATGCATTATACTTATTTAAAGATTGTTAGCAAAACCAATCCCAGGTGAAAAGTAAACAGCATCAGCATCCACAACAATGAAGGGGGGGAGCGATTGGTAAAAATTAAGACGATAAAAATCTGTTTCAAGGCTGAAGATGGTTGTTAGTCTTAAAAATAATTTTTTCCTACAAAAACTTAATAACATCTCGAATATAGTTACCAAAATTTCTTCTAATATTTCAAGAGTTTTACCATTTCCATATAATATTTTAGGATCAAACTGTTTTAAATTGGCCATATCTCAAGTTATCATACTTAGCTGCACTTTTCATCTGTCACAGGTTGAATTGAACACTGTTAGCCTTGTATGACTGTAACTGTACGCAGTTAAGCCTGTCAAGACTAGAAAAATTTAACCCTTTTTAAGAGAAATAGATCAAGTCCCACAGTTGTGGTGATATAAAGTACTGTACACTACCAAATACAACCACGTTAGTTCAAACACATACCTGCTTGGAACCTTTCCTGGAAGTAAAGAAAGCATCACAGTTCTTCCAACGACATTTTAGGGTCTGAAAATTTGGGTTGGTGTGGTCAGTTAGCAAGTGTTGTTTCAGATGGTCCACAACTCCAAAGATCAATGAACATCCATGCCACTGGTAGAAAAAACATGGCAGAATAAGCCAGGGAAAAAGAATTTTAGCTAATGCTTTTCTTCTTGCAACTTCACAATATTCTACCAAGACTGTTCACACACATGCCACCTCCTGTAACTTTTTAACCTTCTCATTCCATTTCCATCTCAATAGTCTCTATTCCTTTAATTACAGCTTTGCAGAGATTCTTCCTGCCTCTAGCCAAGCCTAGACCATCAGCAAGATTGGCAGGAGGAAGAAAGGAACTAAGTCTTTACAGGATTTAAGCTTACCTGAGACAGAGTCATTGGGAATTTAATTAAACTTATTTAGCAGAGTAAATCAGCTTTTCTATGCCACTCAGCTGAAGTTTTTGGTTTTAAACAGTTACATGTCACTATCTAAAAATTGCCAGAAAGAAAAATAATGTAAGATGCTACTACCAACTTTTCCCAAAGCATACAGGTATACTAAAGACCACGTAAAATGGAACTAGTGATATATACTTACATTTAAAATGTACATATACATTTTAAAAATATTATTGAAATATAATAAATTAAAGGTCAAGCTATCCAAGACTGAGTAGTGACCACTCCCGGAAAATTAGTCTAAAAAGTATAACAAAGGAAGGCTAAAAACATTTTGCTCATTACCCAGCAACGATAATTCTGCATCAGATTAAGCCTCACAGCTCTGACACTGCCATCATAGCATCCAGTGTAGATCTGTAAGAGAAACATTTATGGATAAGCAAGCTGGGAATAGCAGAAAAAAAAATGAAGTCAAATTTTGATGGAGGCTTCAATGTAGAGTATATCAGGTGAACAAAAATAAAATATCAACATGCAAGGCTTCTAAATTAAAAAAATGGGTCTAACCTAATTCTTTTAAGATTTGCATTCATAGTTTACAAAAACCTACTAATGAATAAGAAATGTTTCCGTAACTTCTGTCGCTGGTAGTGTCAGGTGTGTAAAAGTTCAGAAAACTTTAAAATATAATGTTACTATCCACTGAAGTGAAAAAAAAAATTTTAGGTGTAAATGTCAATTTGAATATATTTCTAGGACTTAACCAGTTATATGTATATCAAAAATGGATGGAGAGGAAGGGCGAGGAAGAACATCAGAATTTCAGAAAGAGAATACTGATGCAGATCCTGAAAAGGCAAGCAAAAAGTGTTTTTTAAGCTGTCTTTTTTTTAGGCAAATGCTCTACACAAAATTGTCCTTTGGAAAGAAAGGATGTCAGACGCTCGTAATCCCATAAAGAACATTCATCGTTAAAAAAAAGTCCTCACATAATACAGAAAACTCTGCAAGCTGAAGATTTCATTTGTTATTGTTGTTCAAGTCTTTTTGTCTCTTGGAAATTCATCACTACGATATAATAGCCAATCTGCTGTGTCTAAGAGACTACACTTTACTACTAAGACTACTACAGAAAATTATAATCTTTCACTCATCACTAAGATTCTCATCTGAACACTTCTTTGATTTGAGAATGCCCAAAACAGACTATTGCTAGGGGACAGTTCAAGCCTCAGACTGTAAGCACAAAGCCTGAGTGCACTTAGCTCTCCATCTCACTCACATGAAACTGAAGCTTGGGCAGTATGTATTCCAATTAGTAGGAGATCAGTTCTGTTAGACTTGGTTCTTGTGTTATTACAGATCATTATTATACCTCTTATTTTACAATCTGAAGGAAAGCGTGCAAGCAAATTCCTACACATGCAGGCAAATAAGTGCTTCTAATTACTATTTTAAGCAAGTTATTTATTCAGAAGCACTTCTGAAACCTATCTTGCAGTGCAGATGCATGAAGAAACCTGTGCACCTAAATCAATGGAGTACCTTTGTTTAGGTTCTATCAAAGGTTACCAGAGGTTTGACTGTGGGTGAAGTTTTTCTCTAGCACCTCTGTGACTCTCGAGTAAGTGTCAAACACGATCGATGCTTGAAAAGAGGGAATATTTTACTATTTCTAGACTCTTCACTGCAATCATCACTGTAAACAGAACTATTATTTTAAGACTACAGTAAGCTAGAAGGTAATTTTTCCCCAGACAATAATATTACATAAATACAAAGCTGTTATAGCAACTTGATTTTTTGGCTGACATTTCTAAGTTCTTCTGTCTTAGTCAGACAGCAGGTTGATTTCATTATCTGACAAATTTAAACTGTCTTGTGTATGCTTGTGGAAATTACAACCTTCTCTTTGAGACCAGTGAAAAGAAGGAAGTTACCATGCTGTTATGGATGGTCATACACATGATCATATCTGTGTGGCCTCCATAGACTTGCAAGCGGTCGTGCGACTTGAAAGAAACAGAAACAGACATTTAATAGCATGACAGTTAACAGCGATTTTTCACAGACATGCAAATGACAGTGCTTCCAAGAGCAGTTTCCTGGGTAGCAACTAAACTCCCCTGGTGGATTCCAAACTTCATAGCCACCAGGAAAGCTCATTTTTGCTTACGTTACTTCTGTGAGTCTTTTTGTCCAACTAAGCACTTGGTCTTTCAAGCAGACAAAATTAACATTTCCCCACTTTTCTGAGCTGTCATTATCTTAGGATAACCCAGGTTCTAAAAAAAATGGTTTAGGTTATATTCTTTAAAACCCACGTATTTTGGCTGGTGAGACAACTATATATTCTGAGTAACAGGAAAGAGGGGGATGGGCCAGAGACCAGTAAGGGCAAAGATGACTTCTATTTGACTTCAAAATCATTAATTAACACATATTGGGTAAATGTCCTTAGTAACCATCTATTTTCTTACCTGTAGTTCATAAACACGAACAAATTTATCCAGACATGCTGTCACCATCACTCTCCCAAGAATGTTCACAACCGTTACTGCATGGTTATGGCCTTTATAGATCCGTACCAGCTCTCCAGTCTGCGTTGAGAAAAAGCAAAGGCAAATAGGTGTTTGGTTTTAAAAAAAAAAAAAACAAAACCAAACAAACAACAAAACAGTTTTATCCAACCTAGATAGGGGAGCTAGCTTCAACGCTCACTACTCAAAAAATGGAAACACCCTTTATTAGACTTCCATTTCCTGTGAAGGCACTTCCAGATTATGATCAAATACTACTTATCCTTTTCTTTGCCCAATTTAACACAGAGCAATTCCAGTAAAACAGAAATGCATACCACTATGGAAAGTGTCTACTTCTCTTTCCATCATTAGTTACATGTTCCCACCTGTCCTGAAACTAGTACTGTGCTATTAGTACTACCAGTATTTATGTAGCCACAAGGATCAGTGAGCAAATTTAGCTAAATACACAGAAATATACAATTTTTTTGTCAATTAAAATTTACCTCTGATAAGTTTCTTAATCTAACTTATTGCATAGCTACATGAATGTTTCTGCTAGCATGGGGGAAAGATGGTGTAAAAGGAGGAAGAGAGTGGCAGGCTAGAGACAAAGCATTCACGACAGGATAACAGCTTTTGAACAGGTAGTTTGGAACGCTGTTTGTGTTCCTCAAGTTTTTCCTGTAATAAAGGAACTCTTCCCCCACAAGAATATCTCACATGGCTTTGCTCTGAACCCCTCCAACATTATCACCACGTTTGTAGTAATATTTGCAAAAGCAAGATTCCCAGACAAAAAGGCATTGGTATCATTCTATAAGAGTCAGCATGTTTATGTTTCCCAAGGTATTTTATCCTCTGCATCCCTCCTTAGTTAGCTATACTGCACAGTGACATTGACAAAATCATACGACATCTTTTTCTGGAAGCTATTTGCCCCACCAGTCAGTCAAAAATTCTGGAAATACTGAGTTGATAGCACAGGAATTCATTGCCTTAATAGCAAAAGTCATTCCAACTTTATATATAGAATCATAGAATCATTAAGGTTAGAAAAGACCTCTAAGATCATTGAGTCCAACCGTCAACCCAACATCACCATGCCCACTAAACCATGAGACTTACATGAATGTTGTGGGCATGGACAGACTGATCACTGGAGCCACTGAATACCAGATCATTCACAACCTTATAAAAAAAAAAGAAAAAAAAAGGATAGTTTTATTTTTGTAACAAATATGGAAATGGGCAAGCAAAACATTAAGATGTTCAGTTTAAAGTTGCACTGTAATATTTCCTACATTTAGCAGCCTTAAAGTCAACAGAGTATAAAAAAAAAGCATGCACTGAGTCCTTCACATAAGAGCTAGAAAATGTACTATGCTATCCTAATGACCTTTGATGCTTCAAAATTGACATTAGAAGCTGTTAACTTGCAGCCCACCAGGCTAACTCATCCTACCTATGGACTATTCTCAAGGACAGCTCAGCAGCAGATCAGGGACCAAGAAAACTGAATGCAGAATGCTGCTCTGCACATGCACAGTAAAGCCCGTTGTTTCCTGGAAACATTGGATGTTCTGTGCACTTATATTCTGGTCACATAAGAAAGATGGTGCTCCTGACAAGTACTAACCTGGAAAGGAAGTTTAACAGATCCATCACGGATCAAGAAGGGACCACAGTATGCTGCCACGCAAGCAGGACTAGGATAGTCCACAGGGCAAAAAAGGCTGTGCCACTGCAGCATAATATCTAAAGTGACAAATACAATTTATGGAAATCATCCCCTAACTGTTACGTGATAATGGCCACAGGAAAGCAGTCAGACAAGCATATGTTCCAGCTTGTAATCTCAGGAGCCAGAAACCTGTAAATAGGTGATGGTGATTCTTCTATTAAAAAAAATAATACTTCTCTAGAGTTACATTTTCTCCAGTTTGCTCTGAGGTTTGTACAATCAGGGTATGTGAAAACTAGCTTCATCTTTTCCCTGACTTACCCTCTGTTGGCAAACTTGCATTTCAAGATTCCCTGAATCTTCTAACAACATGAAATAAACATGCTTCCTACATACACACCCCCAACAGTTCTGCTGGGAACATGAGATATCGCAGCCAGCCAGAGACAATTTTCCTACCAAATTACTCATTTTTTATCATTTAAAATAGAGAAATATATTTCCTACCACAGTCTGCTCACTATTGATGAGGAAGAAAAAGGAAAAACACACCATTTTAAGCATTCTTTGTCAAAAACGTATTTTCAGAGACACCTGCCTTCATGCAGAGTACAGTCTTGCTGTGACCTTCCAGGGTTCTGAGAAGCAGCCCGTTCCGTGCATCTCGCACGCTGATGGTGCAGTCATAGGAGCCCACTACCAACAACTTGCGTGCTCCTTCCTGAGCTGTGGCTAGGCAGCTCACCGCTCTAGGGCCATGGCATTCAAAGGTATCAACCTGCTTGTTGGTCTGTTGGGGAAGGAAAAAGTGGTATTTAAGAATTAAAACTTTGCTATGACACTGACTAGACTACCGAGTCCTTTTTGTGTTGTACTTGTTATAGCATCTGATTTCAGTTTAGTAGCACACCGTTTCAGCAGTGGTAAGAGTTGCATCTTAACAACTAAGTTTCCAAATCAAGGAAATAACTCCTTATGTTGGGCTTGGATTTTCTGTCTTTTAAAGAAATATTTCATTATTTAGCAAAGGTCCACTAAATCCTCCTTCCGAGTTAGAACAATGAGAGGAAATAGTGTTATAAGAAAAATGCAAAACAGAATAAATTTGTAAGGATAAATTTGAGAAATTAGTCTAGGATCTATGAAAAGAATAATCAGAAAAATAATTCGTTTAAATAATGATTTAAATTCACTTTTAAGTATCATGGGAACTGCTGATTAAGCCTCTTTGCCAGAAAACCATGTGAATGAGTCTCTTCTGTAACTGCAAATGGAGCAGGCAAAACAAGCAACACATTAAAGTCTCTCACACTACTTTGATGGGCACAAAAGGTGAATTCACAAATAGTCAGCTGTGTCAAAAAACTCTCATGACACATGAGTCGTAGGCCACGTGGAATCTTAAGGAAAAACGTGACAATACAGCAGTTAAGAGAAAGGTAATCGGAGGGAAGGGGAGATGGGACAGCTTTGTGCACTGACAAAATAAAGGACCAAAAGGGGCCAACAGTGACCATTTATACTAAAATACTTTAAGTACAAATACACTTACTACTCAAGAGAAAGAATGGAAAGAAACACAAAGTGGAAAGAAAGAGCATTGCAACAGGCTTTCAGGTGCCAATATTTAAACTAACTAACCTTTATGCTGAAAGTAACCACATTGCCATTTGCAAGGCCTGCATAAAGGATCCGCCATCTACTGTGTAAACAGAGCACTCGATCTTCCAATTTAAACTGTTCCATGCACTCTCTGGTCTGGTGATAGAAAGAAGTATTTAAAGCTTTTCATTAACTGAAAACAATTCAGGAACAAAAGCCTGAAGTGAATTATGATTTTCACCTACAAGCTGCATTCTTTGAACCAACAGAGTGGGAGAAAAACATCTGAAAGGCTGGTGTCACATGGCAGTTTGACACTGGTTTTAATCAGCTCACTCCCATCTTTGAGACTTGACTGTACTTCAGCAACCAGTTATACCCCTAAAAGCTTTATTCTAGAAACAACCTCTAGTGTGTATAGAAGTTTAGACTACAGACTATATATATATGTGTGTGTGTGTGTATATAAGAAAAACACCCTGTTACATGCTTGAGTTTGAGGAATCCCCATGAAGTCCCCCAAAGGGAAGTGCCATGAGTCACCAGCTTAAGAGTCAAAAACCTCTGGCATTTCGCCCCTTGAAGCAGATATTTGCTTTCTAGTCCACCAAGCCACAGGCTGCACAAGCCTTCCTATCTTTTATCCTTAAAAGACCAGCTTCAGGAAGTCTCAGTCTGCTCTTCCACCTGCCCTCACAATAATAGATACCTGTTCTCTCTACAGCTACTCTATAAAGAGAGCAGTGCCTTCCATAAGCAATGAAGTTAGAAATACAGCAAGACAAATATAATATTCACGGCCAGACAACCATCCTGCACTTTGGTGTTCCCAACGTTCAGGATCCCGTCACGTTGTTCTGGCAAAAACTCTGCTGACAAGCTAGCAAAAAGATCAGCGTAGTAAATCACTTCATGGTTTGCTGTTTGGTTTTTTTTTTCCTCCTGCTCCAGTCTAATGAGGTATGAAGTGGGGCCCACGTCTAGCTCATATGGGTTTAAAAGGCTTTTTTCATTTATATTTGCAACACTCACATAAAAAAAAAGCAGTACATGTTAATCAACACAGAGTTTGAGTACCTTGATATTGTAACAGTTGATAGTGTGGTCGCTTGAGCCAGTGTAGAGTGCAGCATTCTTCCCATTTGTCTGAGTGACCAGGAGGCAGTTCACTTTTGAAGTATGTCCTTCAAAGACAGCCACACACTTCCTGCTCTAAAAAGGAAAGCATAGGGTCTGTCAACATGAAGGCCCATAATGCCCCTCAGGATCTGTGCCTGACAGAGTAGGGTAGGACAGCTAACAAAAGCAGGACATGTGCAGCACGGAGAAGGGGGTGGGGAAGGGGAGAAGAGAGGTTTGAAGAAAAGAATAGAATAAAAAAAATTAAGTGCTTCAAAAAGCAGCTGCTTCCTTAACTACATAGTAAGGCTTCACGAAAACAGAATTGCAACCTTGTGACTGCAATTAATGTAACACCATTCCCACAGCCTTACTTACAACCAGATTGTAGGCACGAACAGTTCTGTCTGCTGAGCAGGTATACAACAAATTCCCAAAAATCTGAATAGCATTCACTGCAGCCAGGTGTCCCTCGAAGTTTCCCTCGGTAGGTTCTTCATCCTCACCTGGCTCCGAAGACACTTCTGTAGGACAGAGACACATGTACTTTGGTTATGTGAACACACTCAAGCAAACACGCTACTGTTGTTTGTATTACCAAACAGCAGAACTATTTTGTGGGCTCAGCACCTTAAAGTCAGATTTCATTGTGGGTCCCACCTGGAGCCTGTAAGTGGCAGAAGGCAATATAAAATGCCAGAAAGACCTTTGTATGATGTTAAGTCCAGAAAGATCTTTAAAATAGCAAAAGGATTGTATTATTGTTTGTCCTACAGCTCTACGGAGACTGTGGAGCAGAAGTGTTCGTGTGGGAGGGGGCAAGGCACAAAGCATTCAATGAGGGATGACATAAGTGAGTATGCATCACTTCCCACTTCAGTTTTTAGTGCAGGTTTTTATCTTCAGGGCAAAATTCCCCTCTGGCAGCAGTCTGATCGAGACTTAACTCGGAAGTCCTGCAAGATACTATACACAAAGTATCAGAAGAAAAGCTTAAAAGACATACCTGATGAGTTCTTTGATCCTCTTAGTGATGATATGGAAGTCTGCATCTCAGCCGCGCTGTAACACAGAAATAAAGAGTAGCGAGATTGGACTTTGCACGTTCGTTTTCAGACAAAATATTGGTGTAAGTAATACTCCAGAATACAAGACTCTGCACTTAGTAGAAAATAGGCTGTAACAGATAAGCTCAAAACCAAACTTTCCCTGGTGGGCAGCCTTGTTCTTGTATTAATTAGTAGGTGACAAGACACATTCGTTAGACCAAAAAAGCAAATTCAATTTTCATTTTCCCCTCTTATTTCACTCCTGAATGAAATTAAAAGTTGCTGATGTTGTAAGACTTTGTGAATAGGAAAAAAAAAAAAGAAAAAAAGAAAGGCCTCATGAATATTTTTAATGCTTTTACTTTTGAGAGATCTACAATAATCTCACCTTCTTTTCCCATCATCCCTATAATTTGTGCCAATCTCACTGGTGGAGCTCACTTCATCATAACCAGAGCAAGATGCCTCTAGGACTGCCTGATCCACAGAGCTGCGTGAATTCCTCTTTGATGGACTGTCTGGTTTCTCATCTCCCGACTCTGATGAACCAACGTCAACCACCTCACACTGGGGCGCTGGAACTTCCAGTAGTTCCAGAGAAGCATCACTGTCATTCTCATCTTTGTTTCTTGCTGTTTGAGCAGTAGCTCCATTCTCCTGTCTTGGAGGAGTGGATGTAGTAACTTTTTCTCCTTTAGGAACCTTTCCACCCTTGACTTTCCGGACAGGCTTACAGTCAGTTATATCCTGTTCTGTATCACTGTTCTCTGGCACATGGGCTGCCCTCAGAGTTTTCTTCTTCCTTAACTTTCTCCTCCTCTTGTTCCCTTTGTCTGCTGGGACTACAGCGGTTGCCGTCTGTTGCTCGGACGGTTCTGCTGACAACTTGAGAGTTTTATCCATTGGCATTTCTAGAAGGACTGAATGCTTTGGAAGAGAAATGCTACACTGATCCAGTAAAAAGCTTTCAGTCACTGTATCATTTGCTTCTCTCTTGCTGAAAACAGACAGTGAATGAGGAGAAGGGTTCTCAGGAAGTCCAGCCTTTCCCCTGTCCACAGCAGGCTTATGAACATCTTGATTAGTGTGTTGGAAACAAGCTGCCAGCTCCGATAGGGATATAGTTGCAGTGATAACTGGATACACTGAAGTTTTCTGGTTGGTCTCTTCTGAAGAAAACAGACTAGTGTTATATTCAGTCTGTACAGTAATAAATATTTATGCAAAATTGCTTTCCCTGCATTTTTTGTTTATACTTAGTTGTGCATGTAAAGTACATATTCCTACACATTGAAAGCTATGTGCACATGTAGATCTGCTATTTCAGTCTGCTATGCAGCCTTTAAAAAACACAGCTGGGGAATAAATATTTATCTGTGTACCCAGAAGCAAAGGAATGGGGCACATCATTCAACTTGCTGGCTGACTATATGCTTTTAAAGTTCTGACAAACAACCTTTGGTGAATCCTACATTGTCGGCTTAAGATGCTACCACCCTTCACTGTGTGCTGCCTTACCAGCTGTTACCACTGCTGTAGGACTGGTATTAACCACTGCATGCCTAATACATCTCAGCTGCTTAGCAACATAGTTTGAAGACCTTGTGCTTAACCCATCTGCATTAGTTATTTCTACCAAGTTACTTAGACTTAACTTAAGGTAGGTGAGTCATGCACAACCCACTCTGCAACGTCGTACCTTCTATCCTGGGAATTGCAGCACTGTAAGCCATCAGGGTAAGCTTTGTTAGTTCATCTGTGGTGGACTAAGCGATGGGGTGAACATACTCTTCCTGTCATTTTAATTTGAAGCTAATATGAACAAACGAATCCAACTTCTCAACTGAGACAGGCTAAGAGCACAGGTAGCATCTCACAGCTGTGCTTCCCACACCCTAGAATTCCCCAGTTGCATTTGCAGTAACTACAGTCCAGAACAAGATGTTTTAAGTTCATTTTATTGCAGTGCATTTATTGGGTGGGATCCCTCAACGTGAATGGAAAGCTGGCGGTATTTGAAACACTTCCCTGCTTCAGTCTCTTAAGAAACCAGCAAATTAAACCTACAGCAATGCTTAGACAAAGCTGTTGGACTGTTTAACACATCACAGTACAAATTTGATGCTTTAGAATTACACATCCAGCTAGAGACAGCTTAAATGTGAGCATCTCACCCCACACCTTCCTCAGGTGGGAATTTCCAAGATAAAACTAGAACTTGCTGACAGTGTAGGGTATATCGTATTTAAAGTAAATCAATGGAAAGCGGTTTTTCCCCCAACCCGTAACTGTAATACACAGCTGCAACCTGCTAGAAAACCTTCTATACAGAAGAAATGAATGCTTAGATGAGGTTTAAACAGTTACTGTGCTGAATTATACTGGGAAGAAGGCACACAAACCCTTAAATTCTGAATACACCTCTAACATCGTGCGTCCCTCATTTCCCACAGGAAGGGGGAGGGAAGGAACTTGCTCACTTAAAAATAAAACAAACAGGAAAATAAGGAGTAACCAGCAACTTAAACTGAAACTTCTAAAACGAAAAGTTATTAATTCTCAGCACTTGGACTACTGCAGGTGTTAGAAAAGGAAGTAGGAAATCACCACAGTAGTGCAAGAAAACAGAATCATGCAGTTCTGCAGGTGGGAGAGATTGCTGGTAGTTAGGGGAAACCAAATGCAATCAGCTCCTTCAAAACAAGACTGAGCTGACCTCCTAGGGAAGCTGACAAGCCAGATGTTCAACCCCCAGAAAGCAGACAGTCTGCCCTCAGAGAGAATTCCTCTCCCCCAACTTACAGAATTTACCTCATGGTAAATGCTTATTTTCCCCCAAAGTTACCAAATTCATTTGATGGCAGACATTCATTTTAAATGTAGCACATAGAAGTTGATCAATACCAAAACCACATTAATTTGACAAACAAACATCAAAAGAACATTCTTGCTTTTAATATGACAAAAATAAGTTTGTAGGAAACTGACAAATATGCTAATGTGATGAAGACATTTTTAAAGTAATTATTTAAGTAATAAATACAGCTACACATTGAAGGTTCATCTTTATGAAGAAAAAACTAAAACACCTCTTCAGCTTCTGTTGTGCCTGCACAGACATCAATGAAGTCTGAAGATTCTGCAAGCAAGACACTTTATGCCACTGCAGCTAGTGATCACTAAATCTTTATTCTGAATTTTACAACTCTAACATTAAAAAAAAAAGACACCTCTCTTCATTGATGTTTAAATATAACAGAATGGCATATGCCAATAAAAATGGGAAAGCGAAGGAAAGCTAAGTCTTAACAATGCAAACAAACACAAAAGCTGATTCTCCCCGCCACAAGTTTTTTTACTTTATTTTACTTAATTTTACTTTACCCCTAGAGCTTCATAATCCCTGTCAAATCCTCCAAAAAGAGATGAGGCAAAATTCACAATACTACATTAATGTAATGCAACACAATGGAATACAGGAAATGCAATGGTGACTAAAAAAAGCATAGAGCGCTATTTATACAGAGTTCTACATCTGAAGCAAACTGCAAAAAGGTAAAGAACCCTTCAAATTCTTGTATTTACAGAAGCCTAAGCTTCAATTCAGTCAACACTTATCTTGTGCTTGAGAAAAAAAAAATATGCGTATAAAAGTAGAACAGCATGGCTTTTACCAATACTATTTTCCACTTCAGATGAAGGGAAAAAAAATTGTGTTGGCTATATTTATCTTTAACAAGGCCCTTACTTATGAATCTTTATCTCAAACTATCTAAGTTAAGGGTTTGGGTAAGTGACATTGTTATGGCAGACAAACAACTGCCATTAGAGTCACCCTGCTTGACTTCACAGGCTCTTAGGAAAGTAAAGGATGATTGAGCTTTTAATGTTCAGTTTGTACCTTCAGTCACAGTAGCAAGTTGCAGTGGAAAGTACCAATAGCATTTAAGCCTTTGACCACAGGCTACGGTACGTGGGTTTTAGGGGTTTTAAACTGTCTAAATAAAGAGTTAGCAATTTCAGCTACAGCCATTAAGATCTCATTTTTCTGAAGCAGTAGCTCTCACATTAGTAGTTCAGTTAACTCAGCGGTTTCTCCTCCAGACAAAAGTGAACACATACCTTCATTGGTAGCCCTCTCCTATTCACTCCCACTCCCCTCACATGAGTGAACAGTGCCTAACATCCTTCTTACTTTACTGAAATCACAAATAAGATTGCATGAACTTTGAATGAGCATCTCCAGACCAGTGGGATTTAGAGAGATGGAGCAGGGAGAAGATGGATTGTTATTTTTAATATCACAAATTATACTCTTTGTGCTTATCCAGCAGGGCCCAGGAACACAGAATACTCTTAACGTAGTTGGTCATAATTTTTTAAGAGAGATCTTCAGGCGTGCATTTTTCCTCTGTAGGCAGATTTTCAGCTACCAATGCCCATTAAATGATGCAGAGTAAAAGACAGAAATTACAGGGGAGGTTTTAAGGTTTGGGTTTTTTTTATTAACTGAATTATTCTGAGAAGATGTAACCTTCAAATTACTTTAAAAATAGAACAAACATGAAAACTAGAAACCTGTATGTGCATATGACTACAATTTGCATGTGCTTAACAATTTCAAAAACGTGGAATCCATTTGGATGTGTTGTAAAGAAGGTCCCAGTTTCTAAGGCTATTAAGTTGACAAAGTCCTACACAAGTTAATGGGAGTTCACCCCTGCACAACAGGCTGCAGGTTTGAGACCAAACTTACATTCTTCCAGGAAAAAAAATATTTCCCTTATTTTCTCAAAGCTAGTTCTCTTAAAACAAAGAAGCCACACATACCATCCTTCTGCTCTACCTCTTCTGCTCGTGAAGCACATGGAGAGCTCTGGAGTACAGAATTCACATTTTCTTCTGAGCCTTTTGGAGAGAGAGGTTCCTGTTTAACTTGTACTGAGGAGTCAGGAGGAGTGGCGGATGTGATGCCAGAAGACTGGAATGGTGATGGCATGTTTACATGAACAGAAGCTCCCAGTGGAGCTACAGAAGACGACAAAGTGTCCAAAAGGGGCAGGAAGGAGCCTGCAGGAATTAAGTCAGCTGCTATCTGAGATTTGCTATTTCTTCTCTCACTTAAGACACTGCAGGAAAGTTGCTCTGACAGTTCAGAAGGTTCATACGTTTCTAATGGCAAAAGAGGAGAGAGAAAAAAAAAAACAGAACAAAAATATTCACATCTTACAACAAAATTTAGTGGTGCCAAGAGCTCATTTCTTGTGGACACACAGACAAGGAAGAGAAAAATTTGTAAAAAAGCCACTAGATGGCACTACCAAAGACCACAGCTCACACTTGAACAATAGACTTCAATATTGAAAGCCTACAATTTTATTGCACATTTTAAATGAGTGAATTCAAGTTAAATGCAATTATTACAAGATGCTGAGTTCAAAGAATATGAGAGCCAGCATTCCACTGCTGTAGTTTTATGGTTATCTCATACCTTGTAGCCCCTGCAAGATCTGGATTCTCTGACTTCTCAGCGTACTCATTTCCATGGTTATCTGCAAAACAGTTGTGGTTTAAATCAGTCCTACTTAAGGCAGTTTTTCAGGCTGCTAACTTCTAGTTCAGACAGTCTCAAAAGCCCACAGTTACCTGTTGCTTTAATACAAGGAACCGTTGAACCTCAACATATGCAGCCTGCAAGGCAGCTCTAGCCTGCAAGAGACTGCTGTCCACACTATGCAGGGACTTGCTTAACTCTTCTTCCCTCAGCGATATAGCCAACAACTGGTCTACCTGAGAACGTTCTGAAAAAGAAACAAAATGTAGAGTATAATTGTACCTGACAATACATTAAAATACATTACACATGATATCTCAATAAATACTGCCACCTCAGAATGTAAAAATCACGTAAATTAGGTCAAGCATCAATAGTCATACAAGAAGCTGAAAAGGAGTATCTATGCACAGGAACATCTACATGAAAGAAGAGCAAAGTCGAGTATTCCTCTTCACAGGATCTCAACCTTGACTCTAGTAACCTTATTTCCATCATAGCTTCGCCAGCTCTGATTTAATTTAGTTGAACGAAGTCATCCTCTTCCACAAAGATCTTTTGTTGAAGAACATGTGTACATAAAGTACAAATACACACTTTCCATTAATGTAATCAAAAAGGCAAAGGCAAATTTAAGCTAAACAAGATTTAAATTATTCAGTTAATCCAGAGGCCAAGGAAAGACAGCTTAAGGGAACAACCACCCAATGATAAAAAAATCATTTACTATCCAGGATGATTTTGGGCCGTGAGACTCATGTTTGCAGTCTCTTGCGAAAGAATCTCTGAGCACTGTACTCAGTAAAAGATCCTCCTATACTCCTTTCTAAAGTCCTCTGGCATTACAGAGATTCTCCAATTGAATTAAGTTTCAGTTTATGCTTAGTGTCATTCAGGTTATAGTTTCCTTTTCTAGATTACTACAGTAATGGTGATGCTGAAGCAAAGTAATGGGAAAGATTTTACCAAGTTGAATGTGTTATTAGTCTCCATAATAGATACTAGTCATTGAAGACAGAGACTGATAAAAACCCCCACCTTTTCAAGTAGTGAAATATTACTTCCCACAAGAAGATCCATATTAATTGCCCTGCATTCCAAACAACTCTTAATATAAATAAATAATTAAAAAAACAGAAATGGAACATTTGAAACCTATCTTCTGGACCCCAAAGGTCCCAGATGGTGATGCAATGATTTAGTTCCCAAAGAAAATATTCTCCCTAAATCACAGGTGGTCAATTTTAATACACGGTGATGTGGATGTGTTAGGCATGTGTCATGGTTTAACTCCAGCTGGCAATTAAGCACCACACAGCTGCTCACTCACCCTCCCACCCCCGGTGGG